GTTAGATGGATGAGTCAAAGAAGGTGAGCGACAAAGAAGCTGGCCCTGAAATGGGAGGAGGAGAGCACTGTAGGTTAAGGTCATGGCTAAGTCAGAGCCCTCCCGTGGTGGGCAGGAACTTGGCTGCTGGAAGAACTGCAGTGTGGTTGTCAGTGAAGACGGAAGCCAGGCATGTGGCTTGAAACTAGGCAGAAGAATATGTCAGTCAGCATTGTGTTGCCGTGACAAAATACCTGAGAAAAACAACTTAAAGGAGGAAAGGTTTATTTTGGCTCATGGTTCCAGAGGTCACAGTCCACAGTCGCTTGTCCCCATCACTGTGAGCTTATGGTAAAGCAGAGCATTGGGGTAGGAAGTCCATGGTGCAGCAAATCTGATCACCTGGTGGTGGCTGGGGAGCAGAGAGAGTGAGAGAAGGGGCTGGGGACAAGGTACACCCTTCCATGGGATGCCCCAGTGACCCGTTTCCTCCACCCAGGTTCCCCCCCTAGAGTTTACACCACCTCCCAGTAATGCCATGAAATCAGTAATCCGTCAGTGGGTTAATCCAGAGCCCTCCTGACCTATCACTTCCCCCAAGGCCACCTCTGCACATGGCTGGCTTGGGGACCAAGTATTCAGTACATGAGCCCATGGGGACATTTCATATCCAACCATAACAAAGAGAGAGACAGGGTTTTGGGAGACTGGAGCATACATTCAGGTTTTATTCTACAGCCTGGGAAAAGGTTAAACAGGAGCGTTAGGGGTGATGTTCTGTAACTACCAACRGGGTCAAGGGTCAAGGTGACCAATGTGTGACGCCGTCTGCCTCCTGGTGAGCCTTACATCTGATTGTCCTGGTAATTGACAAGAAGGGTGCATACATCTTCAGTTCCAATTATAGAATATTCTAGTCCTTCTCTTCTTGGGGCATTTTCCTGTAGCTGTAAGCCCTGTTCCAAGCTGCACGCTCAGGTCTGAGAGGCACGTCTCTGTGGAGAGCCGTCGCCCTGCCAGGGCGCAAGCTCAGGGAGCACAGCTCCCCCCCCAGTCTCACCTCCTCCCTGCTGGTGACATCTTGGGACTTGGGTTGGCTTCCCTGGGCAATGGAGCCAGGTCAGCCTTTCATGCCTGTGTCTTTATGGTGGGTCCGTCCCGAGCCGTCCACCCTCAGCCTGCGTTTTGATATATAAAGTGCGTTTCCTGTAGATAGGATGGACCATTTCTCCCCTCGTTCTGACAATTTCCATTTTATAATAGAATGATTTTAGATGCAATGTGTGTCTTTCAAAGGATTTGCTGAGTTTCTTCAACCCGTAAATTTAAATTTCACCAAATCTAGGAAAATTAGTATGATTATTTCTTAAAGCATTTCCTGCCTCTCCCCTCCTCTCTCCTCCTGGGACTCAGTTACACGTATGTTTGGTCTTTGAGTATTCCTCCCGAATATCTCTGATGCTGTGCTTATTTTTTCCCCAATATTTTCTCGTTCTCTTTTTCAGGTGACATAATCTCTGTGGCTCTGCCCTCAAATTCACGAACTCTCTCTTTTGCCATCTCTAGTCTGTGTTTTATTTTGGATGCTGTATTTTTTACTTCTGAAATTTCTACTTGGTTCTTTCTAGAAGTGTTCTTTTATCCTCTGCTACTTCCTATCTTTTTCTTCATTACACGAGTGGTTTCTGTCATGTCCAGGGACAATAGTGGCTTTAAAATCCCCGTCTGATAGTTCAGCATTTGGGTCTCCTTGGATTGATTCCCTCTAGCGGGCTCTCTTCTTGCCTGTGGKGGGGGGGCATTTCCTGATTCCTCACAGAGTGATTCTGGATTGTGCCTAGCATGGTGGCTGGTGGCTGGGGACACCTGAACTATGCCGTGCCCCTGCACAGGGTGTGGCCCCAGTTGGCCCCCCTCTCCGTCCCCCTGCAGTGGTGGTGGCCCCATCTTGCTCAGTCCCCCGGCCTGTGTAGGGCGGCTCAGGGTCTGCTCACCTGCTCGCGTGTCATTTGGGGTCTGTAGGAGATTTGGACGGTATGAGCGCACAGGGCTTTGGAGCTGCCCCCCGAGACCTTCTGTTTTCAGACGTGTCCTCTCTGCAGCTTCTGTCTGGGGCCCCTCCTCCACTCCCCTGTGCTTTGGGGCCTTCTCCATGTCCTTCTGTGATCGTGCTCCCTGTGTGTCCCACATTTTCTGCTGTCCTTTGTGATGCGCTTTGGATACAAAGCCAACATGGTTTGTCGGTGAGTTGGCTGAAGAGGGCGATGGTGACCCGAGTGGGGGCCAAACAGTGGAACTGGGATGGCCCTTCATTTTGGGGTAATCGAGGGCAGGACRGCTTGGATTCATTTTTGAGCTCAACAAGACCACACGCAGGAGGAAGGTGTCTGGCTGAAGAATGGAAGCTGCAGATCGGGCTGTACGTAGGCTTGTGACCTTGGAGATGCTGTCTAGATAGTCACCTGGAAATGTCAAACGTAGGCTGGATACTTAGAACCTGGAGCTCGAGGTCTAGAGTGTCACCAGAGCATAGCTGGTGACCGAACTGGTGGGACCAAGGGGCTTTCCCAGGAAGGATGGAGCTGGGGAGAAAGGGATGCCCGGGGGGCGCTCTGAGGCCCTGTGGGGTGCGGAAGCCAAGCAGAGGAGGAAGCGCCAGCAAAGAGTGCCCCTTCACCAGCTGAGGATCTAGGCCACCCCTGGAGGGAGCGCTCTCAGCAGTCGGAGAAGCAGGGTTCACAGGTGGCCAGGTCAGTGCTGTTGAGAAGCTGGCCAAGGCCAGGACAGAACAGCGAGCCTGGGATTGGGCAGAGGAGAGATCCAGACGATCCTTCTCATCCACCTCCCTGGGGGAGTGGGAGAAATGGATAGGGCCATGCACAGTCCCTGGCTGCTGCAGATGGAGGACTGGTTCTCAGGGCCCTGGTGGTCTCGGCTGCAGGCTCGGCTGTGAGCTGTGTGCCCACCGAGCACCAAGGAACCACAAAGGAACCACGCAGTCTGTATGTTGCATCCCGATGGCGGCTCCTCCCTCCTGCGGCAGGGAGACGGTCCACCTGCAAGGTAGCCCCCGCCTGCTCAGACACCTGGAAAGAAGCCTGTGAACCCCAGCGAGCATCTGCTGTGCACTTGTGGGGACCAAGGACATCCTGGTCCACACTCCCTGGCGGTTGGCTGGCTGCCCTGTTACCCGGGGCCATGCTGATAGTAGAGGATGCATTCTGAGTGGGGCTGGGCTCCCCCTTTGCTGGGAGCTGCCTTCTCCGTGGGCCCGGCTGGAGCTTGTCTGGCTCAAGGTTCTAGGGAAAGAGTTGCGGGTTCAGAGCGCAGTCTGCCCAGGGAACCTGAGTGGTCCATACAGTCAGGACCTGACGGCTACCCCCTGGCTGGGTCTCTTGCTCAGCCCGGTGCCTCTGGATCGGGGACTGGCATTCATCACACGGGTGCTCACRGATGATACCCCCAGGGGAGGCCTGTTCTCACTGAGGCTGACTGTATGTCAGGGCAGAGCCCTCTGCCTTGGTTTAGCGTAGGCTGCCTTGGCAATCGGGCATCCTGGAGGGCACCTGGGCCTGCAAGAAGCAAAACAACCAGCATGTCGACGACCCAAGGCCTCTACTTTCTCACTTAGCTGGGGAGCTGGCACCAGCTGCTGTCCGGTGGCTGGCGAGTTTGCAGCTGGCATGCTGTGCGCGGCCGTATGTATGCCTGTGCTCCCGGGTCCTCTGGTGGTGCCCACGCCCTGGGGCTGGTGTCACCTGCAGAGTTCTAGACGGGGCTTGGCCCACCAGACTCCCTGCCTCTACCTCAGGGCTCCTGTCTGCTCCAAGGTGTGAAATAAATACACTTGGCGGCCACCCAAGTGCAAATTGCAGCCATCAGTGTCACTGAGGGTCTCTCTGGACATTGGGACGATCCCAGTAATTTCTCGGTGTGTGGACCGGCTGGCTGTCATGCGGGATCTCAGTGGCTCACATCCCATCCCCTGATCCCCTCATCCCGGAACTGAGCCTTGTCCGTATCTGGAATTCCGGGAGGGCTCACTGGTCTTGATCTCAGGCTGTCAGACCCATCTGCAGAGCACAAGGATCAGTGACTTCTATTCGGTTTGTACTCGCCCACAGGAGTCGCTAGCCCACCTCGTAGCATCCCAGCACTAAAGTGCTCAGGTCCTGGGCAAGGCCATGTGGGGCCGGCCGGCCAGCCCTTGGGACACCTTTCCCCAAAGTCAGCCTTGGTGCCAGGCACCCTGAGCTGAAGGTCTTGGCTGCAGCTGTTCTCCCAGCTCCGTCCCACCCAGGTTGCATTCAAAGTATCCCTGCAAATAAAGTAAATGGGACAAGTCTGTAGGACCTTCTGTTATCAGGATAGAGCATCGGAACCCCTTCCGCAGGAGGGGACTGTTTCTAAAGCCAGCTTTACGGTCTAGCCTGCCCGGGCACCGCCCAGGTCCCCTTTCCTAACACAGTGTTGGAGGTGATCTTTCCGTTAATATTTTTATAGTGCTGAAAGCCAGTGCTCTTATCTGGGGGTTAATTCCTTTCTAAAATGTTTGCTTAGTTGATTTTCAGGAATCTCTACGTAGGAACCTGGGGATATATTTCTTTCGCCCTGTTGGTGRTGGAATACTGCAGCCCCGTGAGAACCAACCCCTTCGTAGCTCCTAGAACTGAGCTTCAGCCACAGTTGAATTGTTTGTGCTCAGGCTGAGGCTTGGCAAGGCCGGCGGGCGGTGGTTTTTGTTCCACGTGGTCATTGTAAGCTGGCCGTGCTCATTTCCTGATAGCATGAGCTTCCACATGTCAACGATGAGGTCCATCCACGGTGGAGCAGAAACCGCTGTGTGTGTCTCGGGCTGAGTTCAGACTGTCCCAGCTCCCTCCCTCTGACTTTAGAAGATGTCTCCTGTGAGGCGAGGGGCAGTCTTTTGCTGGAACCCAGGGGGTTCCTGCCGGGCTGGTAATGTCGTTAGATAAGGTGTCCAGGAGCCTCCCCTAACGTGACCCCTCTTCAACATGCAGATCAAAGAGTACGAGAAGCTGGACAACGAGGAGGACCGCCTGTGCAGGAGCCGGCAGATCTACGACACCTACGTCATGAAGGAGCTGCTGTCCTGTTCCCACGTAAGCCCCGAGCTCCTCCCGGAGGAGCTGCCCTCTGATCAGAGTGAGAGGGAGGACAGTGGTGGGTGGAGTTTAAGAATGAAGGTGCCAGGTCAGTGTGTTGGTGCTCACCTGTCATCCCAGGGGCTCTGGAGGCTGAGGCAGGAGGATGGTGAGTTCAAAGCAGCCTCAGCAACAGTGAGGCCCTAAGCAGCTCAGTGAGACCCTGTCTCTAGATAAAATACAAAATAGGGCTGGGGAGGGGGCTCAGGGGTCGAGGGCTCCTGGGTACGATCCTCAGTACCAAAAAAAAAAAAAAAAAAAAGAGCCCAATGCCTGTGTTCTGTAGTCTGCCCCCTGGAAGATCCACACGGTGCCTGAGGATATTCCCAAAAGCCAATTCTTGCTTTGCAAAAAAACTGAAGAACTAAAATTCCTAGTTCATATTAATTGAAGAAAAAGCCTCCATTTCAAACTTTCCAGAGAAAATTCAGCTTTATTATTTTTAATGGCACTATCTTTTCGTAAATAGGCTAATCAAATATTGAAAAGTATAAATCTTAAATGGCTTCAGTGAATTAACAAGGAGAATTGTAATTATTTTCTTAGTTTTGTTCATGAATAGTTAGATAACAGTCGGAGTAAATGTTTTTCTTGTAAATCAGATAGGCAATCTAATTCAGCCATTAGGATAAACTAGGTTCTCAGGAAATTATTTCACCAAAAGTAAGTGGAATAATTAGTAATGAGAATTTGCTAGGCGCCGGGCACAGTGGTACATGCCTTGTAATCCCAGTGGCTGGGGAGGCTGAGGCAGGAGGATCACAAGTTTGAGGCCACTTTCAGCAACTCAGTGAGACCTTGTCTTAAAATAAAATATATTAAAAAATGCCTGGGGATGTGACTCAGCAGCTGAGTTCAGTCCTTAGTACAAAAACAAAACAAAACAAAAACCCTTTTTTAAAGGGATAGACTGACAGTCCTGGCCTCCCCCATTCAGTATAGTAGCCACTGGCCATGTGTGGCTGTTTGAATTTGTTAAAATTATTTAAAATCAGATGRGATTAAGAATTTGATTCATCACTTCCTCCTGAGTCCATTTCAGGTGCCCACAGCCCCATGTGGCCAGAGGCTGACCTGTCTGGAGGCCCAGGCTCCCCGCATGTGGTCAGGGCAGGAAGCCCCTTGCACAGCCCTGCCCTGGCACCCACCTGCCCCAGCCTGCTGTAGGGAGCTGGTCCCGGCTCTGCACACCTGGAAGAGCTGTGGCTGCAGGTGGCCTCTCCGGCAGCCCACGTGGCCTTGCTCTTTGCACCCACCTGCCTTGATGGAAGGAATTTCTGAGTCGGAGCTAAATCTCCCGCCCATGCCTTGCTGCTCCTGGAAGGCTGAGCCCCAGTGAAGGCCAGATGTTCTCGGGAAGCCGCGTGAACTTGGTTTTCCGTGGCTAGCGGGGTTCTAAGCCCCAGGAGGTGTTTTTTAAAGCTGCTCTTACTGAGCGTTGTTGCAGAAGACGCAGGTGAAGTTTGGGGGGCTGCAGTCTGTGTTTCCCACCAGTGGGAGCTCCACTTGCCCAGCTCCCCCTGCCGTGGCTGCAGCCAGAGCCCCTGACCTCAGAGCCTCTGGCCACCGTCACTAGGCTTTGTAATCCTGCATTTGATTTTTAGGTGAGTGTCTGTGTGTCGTTTGATGTAGGAGAGGGTTTGTGTTTTTAGGAGTCCCCTATGGGCAAGCGAGGAGACTCAGCCAGTGGGTGTAGTGGCTGTGCTGTTCCTTGACACGTCATTAGCCCACTGACCTTGACCTTCCATGGGGGTAGCTGTGCACTCAGGCCCCTGTGTGCTGCCGCGGCTCGGGGAACCCTGCGCGCCTGAGGGGTGCGCTCTCGTCGAYTGGCCTCCACCCAGAGCGCAGGGTTTGGGGAACGCTGGTTGGTGTAATCGCACAAATTGTCACTAAGCGATTGGGGAGTTCGACTCTCTGTTGTGGTATTGTGTGCCATCGAGGTTCCTTACATGTATGATTATTCAAAATCACTGTTTTTGATTTTTCAAAAGCCATTCTCCAAGCAAGCTGTGGAACACGTACAGAGTCATCTGTCCAGGAAGCAAGTGACATCGACACTCTTTCAGGTAAGATAGAATCRCTTCAAGGTAGACGCACGGGATCCGCTTAGCAGTTGGGCTTGGTGACATGCTTTGGCGTGGTGTGCGTGCAGTAGAGGAGAGCCCGCGAGACCCTGTCCTCCGGGGCCCGCTGGGCTTAGTGTCGCTTGCCTTTTCATTGAAATGGGCGCCTCCACCCACGGGCGGGAAGTGTACCCCCGGAGATTTCTWGTAGCGTCCCATTCTAGAAGTCCACCCGGGTCAGACCCTGGAGAAGAAAACTCTTCCACATCTGACATTTGGAGACCTGGGATGGACAGGGACTTCACAAGAGGTGTCCTGATGGCYAGGGTGTCGGTCCTCGAAGTCATCCCCCTCCTGATTAACAGGATTTGCTTTCAAGAATCAAGGGGGAATCTTCAGTGGCCCTGGAGTCACACCTGAGGATGTCCTTTCCCTGAACTACTCACAAGACAGGACACAGCTCCATGTTAGACGAGGAGGTGAGGGAACTGGTCCCTGTTCTAGGCCTGGGTGTCGCCGCTGTGGGGATGGAGCGGCCCCTCCTCCCCAGAGCCTGGGCGTCCTGTGTGTCCTACAGAGGTGGCAGGTGGTTTGCAAAAACAGTCCAGTTCTCAAGTGGATAATGTATTTTTATATCTCAATGAATTATAATAATGAAGTAAGTAATGATTTTCATAAATGAAAATGTTTCAGTTACAATGAGGTAAGTGGATGTTTGATTTGTCACCTTTTGATAGGATTTATTCATTCAAAATGAAGTTGATTATTCTACAGAGAAAACACTAATGTGGCCCTTAGAGCATGCGGACAGTAACAAATTGGGTGTCATCTTTCAGTCAAAATAATTAGACGTCCCTTTCACAAAAGGTAGGCACTGTGTGCAGGCGCCAGGGGGTTCCAAGCTCAGGTTCTGGAACTGGTGAGTGGGCTGGGTTTCGGCCCCAGGGCTGCGACCCCTGCTCCTGTTTCCCCGTCTGGGAGGGGAGGTGGCCAGGCCGTCTCTCAGGGGTCTTGGTTTTGGGAAAGGTCACTTTTCCCCTGGGCCTGCCCCCAATTCCCCCCAAATGTCAGCTAGGACCAGGTCCTGCGGCATCTGCCCCGGAGGTCTGTGTGTCTGCTCTGTGCCGTCCCCGAGGCGTTTCCTGTCAGAGTCTCAGTCTTCAGAGGACTCTGCCGCAGACAGCTCTGTAGTCTCGGGTGGGGGCTCTGCTGTGCCTTCCCACGGAGCCTGTCATCGGTTCCCGCTACCCCTGAAACACCTGAACCTGCCTGATTCATGAAGAAAAAGAGGTTCCTTTAACTTGGTGGTTAGATTACAGGCCAGAAGCCCAAGACCAGACACCTCGTCAGCAGCCTCTGGTGGCCCTCGTGGCTGTGTCACATCAGGCACGTGGCCTCACGGCAGGGAGGGGTGCAGGAGGGAGAGAGCACAGGGCAGGACAGGAGGGGAGGGGGGCTGCTTCCCATGGCACCTCTCGGGAGCACTAACCAGAGCCCCCCGAGAACTACCTGAGTGCCCCCAGAGGGTAGCGCCCGTGACGTCACCTGCCCGAGTCCATCACTTTCCCATCCCACACRGAGGACCAGGTTCCAGCCAGTGACCTCTGGGGACACACTCAAGCCGTGGCCAAGCCACAGCACCGGGCTTTTCATCCAGGTTTTAGCTTTTCCTGCAGCACAAACAGTATTGGAGCCAGCTTGTCCAGGTGAGATAGGAAGGTCACCTGGGTTCCTTTCATATCCTCGGGGACACTCATTTGCAAGCTTTTCTTCAGCCTGTTTTTTTTACAACACTTTACTAATTTGTTGGGTTCACTAAAAACAGATGAGGGTTCTGGTGAAGCTGATGTGGCAGGTGGCATTCCCATTCCACAGGTAAAGGGGACGTTGCATTCATTCAATCGTGTCACTCAGAGCGTGGCGATGGAGTGTAGACAAAAGTGACGTTTGGGGATCCCGTTTACAGATGTGCACCCGCCCATCACGTGGGTGGAAGTTCACGGTTACACAAAAATGTTCCAAAAGTCAATTCAAAATGCTTTTTATCAAGTTCCTTTTGTCCATGAAAATGATTTTAGAGATGAGTGCCACAGAGGTATGTTGGGTGGCAGCAGCCGGGAGGGGTCCTGGCTGGTGTTCGGGTGTCTGAGACGTGCCAGGTCCCGTGCTCTTGGCAACGGTCTTGGTTTTACTCAGTTCTCACGGTGGCCTCGCAAAGCAGAGGTGACTCACCTTCTGCAGATGCCGGGAGCTGAGGACCAGAGAGACTCGCAGTTGCTGGCAGCTGGACGAGGCTCCTGCCCCGCTGCCCGGCTCCTGCCCCGCTGCCCGGCTCCTGCCCCGCTGGCCGAGAGGTCCTGGAGCCTTCTGTCTTTCACAGGATTGACGGAAAGCGGGGAAGTTGAGTGGAATAAGAAAGCAAAGTGCTAACTGGCCAGTGTTGCTGTGACTAGAAGCCTGCGGTGGCTGGAGTGTCCCAGCTCTGGGGCCTCCTGGGACTTGAAGGGCTCAGCTGAGATGGAGGTGGCACGTAGACGTGTCCCTGGGGGCTTTCGGTGCTGGAAAGGACTCAGAGATGCTTCACCGAGGAGAACACAGTCCGTGTGGTCTCAGGACCCGTCCTCGCCCACGTCCCCTGCCCAGCACAGCCTCCCATGGCAGCGCAGGGGGCTCCCTGGAGAGCTCGGGGCTGCAGCCAGGCCTGCCCGCCACAGTGGCTCTCCCTGACCCTCGGAGGCGTGCGGCCACCCGCTCCCTGTCTCTGCTCAGCCTTCAGGGCGCTCTGGGAAGACCTGGGCAGTGCTGAGTCTGGTCTTGGTCCACAGGTTCAGGTGTCAAGATTCCCCCAAGGACCTAGCTGACTCTTTTGAACCGGGAAGGGGGCCTTGGTCATTTCTTGTTCCTTGAAGTTCATCCACGAAACAGAAAAGTCTGTGCTATTTATTTCACAGTGTGCCAAGGGCACAGGATCGGAGTAGATCACAGCTGTCCCACCCGAGGGCCAGCAGCCCTGGCTGTCACCCTGCTCAGCCAGGAACTTGCTGGAGGCCTTGGGAACACCCCCCTCCCCCAGTCCTGGAGCCTCCGACAGCCAGAGGGGCGGTTGGTTCTCCCTCCTGGTTCCCTTTAGCTCTGTCATTCCGAGGGGTCGAAAGCCCATCGCTGACACAACCGGATGAAGTCATGGAACTCTGTGGCTCTGTTCGCTCTGAGTTGGGACAACTCAGCGTTCAAGCAGATCACGGAAGCTTTTTGCAAGACGTGCTACGTCACTCACAGGCCCGTCCGAAATGACCCCGTCCTTCAAAAGTTATCAGGAATTTCAAGATGGTGACAGAGGAACATCAGCCACCACCAAACTCTTCTAAGTGACATCCACCCAGCTAGTCCCTGTCACTTAGGAAGGGTCCGCTGCTGGCCACGTGCCACACGAGGCAGTAGGGACGCAGGGGCCCAGGCGCAGGCCTGCCCTGTCCTGGTGGGCTCCGGGGGAGCTGCTGTGGTATAAGCCGTGCTGTCTGTGTGTCCGTCCTGGACGAGCAGCACCCGGGAGTGCGCCCTGGGGCCTGGCCCTGTCTGGGGCTCACTGTCTGCCTCCCTCTGGTCCGTTCCCATTCACAGTGTGACATTTCTTCTCCTTCCTTTCCAGCCATACATAGAAGAGATCTGCGAAAGTCTTCGAGGCGACATTTTTCAAAAATTTCTGGAAAGGTATGAAACTTTATGCATCTATACGAATCCAGTATCGTGTGGGTGCGGTCACTATTCYGTCTGTGCTGTCCTTAAATGTGTGGAACGCGGCTGGGCCGTGGCTCAGTGGCAGAGCGTGTGAAAGGCCCTGGGTTCCATCCTCAGCACTGCAAAGAAAGATTTTTTTTTTTTTTTATAAAAGTGTTAATTTATTCATCCAACAGGTGTTTGTTGCCGTGACCGATGTGCCAGGCTGTTCATCTGTTTCTTCAGTATTTTAAATCCTAATTTGGGGGTTTGTGTAGCTCCACGTCCCTTTGAGTTTCAGGTCTTTAGCTGCAACCTATCCTGAAGTTTAAATAGAGCAGGGGACCGCGGGTTTAAAACTGTCCTCTCAGGAGACCTTGCTAAGGCCAGCGTGCCTGTAGCTTACTGGGTTGATTTGTTGGGTTCTGGAGGCGTACCCCCGACTGAGGYGTACCCCCAGTGGGGCGTGCCTGGGCTTGATTCTCTTCAGGGCTAGGTGATGGGGTTTGTGATCCTGTACATCATTGACATCCCCGGTAGATGGGTCCCTTTGGTCACTCGAGCTGTAGCTGGTGTTTGTCATAGAATTCTGGAGTTTGTCCTAAGAATGGGCGTCTCCTCCGCCTTTCCAGCCCCCTCCCAGCCAGCTGCAGTGTTTTGAGCAGGCCTCTGGGAGCTCTTGGCATTGGACTTTCTAAAACGGAACCTGCATCCACACTGACCGCCCTTCCCTCCCTAAACCTGGCCAAGATGAAGGTGTCTCTCGGTGGGAGTGGCCGTGCACCCTGAGAACAGAAATCGCACCGAGAACAAGGGCTACTGTCTTACAGTCTTCGTCTCCCCACCCTCGGAGAACTAAAACAATTTAAAAGCAGCTGTGTTGTGAGTCCACTGGGGTTTGGAGATAATTTGCCTGGAGTAGAGTCATTCTTCCAAACAAGGGCCCTCCTCTGAGTAGCAGCAGAAATTTGACCAGGACGCAGCCCAGGGAAACCGCGGGCCTGGGGCACATCCGGCTGGGTGGCTGCCTCGTCCCCGCCATCTCCACAGCAGGTGCTTCTGAGAGCAACCTGTCCCTCCTGTTGGATCAGCCTTGCTCCGATGTGACCCCGGGAAGCCGGGAAAGTCTGGGAAGGTCATTAAGTGGCAGGAGGCTTCTCCCTGGTGACTTGTCCCTCAGCATGGTGACCGACCTTTCCCTCCCAGGCTGACATACGTGGTCTGGTCCTTTTCCCGCCCCGTTTGCCGTTCGGATGAAGCTGCGGGGCGTGTCATCGAGCAGGCACACTGCATGTCTRGAAGTGCTTCTAATTTGATGTAAATCAGTTGTCTTTGAAGTCGTTTTATTCATCCATACACCTTTTAGTTCTGTTTCTGTCAGTGAATTCTCAAATTAAAAAAAAAAAAATCCACGTCAGGTCCTGAGTTTGAAGTTTGGGTTTTGAAGAGCACGTGCCCTCTAAGAATGTGGTGGCGTGTCCTTGGGCACATTGGTGGAGGTGATTTCCCACCTCTGTGGAATGGTGGGCAAGAGGGAGCCCCCAGCCCAGGGCCTGTCTCTGCCTCCTCCTGAGGAGGTGGATGGGGGGACCAAGGGGCCTGGACCTGGAGGAGGCCAGTCCTCCTGGTGGAGGCCCCTGAGTGGAAACGCCCCCCCCCCCAGCTGTACCAGGCACTTCTGGGTCTTTAACCTTGGCCTTCCCCAGACACTTTGGGGGCATCTCAAGGACTTGGCTGGCTGAGGCCATGACGTGTCCCTCWGTCCCAGGAACTCATTAGGAACAATGAGTGCTTAGGTCTCGCTGCTGGAGCCAGCTGAGCCTGGACACCCAGGGGCCACCTGCAGAGGTGCATTCACAGTAGGTCCTGCCGAGTGGGCAAGACGTGTGCTTCTCTCTTCCTGGTGCGCCAGTCCTCCGAGGCAAGTTCCAAAAGGTGTCAGACCACCCGTCTCCAGCTCTGGTCTCCAGAATATGTGAGAAGTGGGAGGGCAGGCCCTTCAGACTGAGGGAGTTTGCGTGCCTGCGGTGGGTCCCTTGGTTTGGGGGACACCCAGGCAGGGCTGTGCCCTGTGCACACASGGTGCTCTGGAGGGCAGCTTGGATGCCTCCTGCTGATCCACCGCTTCATAGAGATGTCGGGAGGGTCAGAGAACATTCTGAAAAGTCACCTTACATTTGCTGACACAAATTGCCACGGGATTGCAAAGAATTCTTTTTCTAAAAAAGAAAATACTTTTTTAGTTGTGGATGGACACCGGACGTTTATTTTATCTGTTTATTTCTATGTGGTGCCAGGAATCGAACCCAGTGCCTCACACGTGCCAGGCTAGTGCTCTGCCCCTGAGCTACAGCCCCAGCCTGCAAGGGATTCTTCTGGTTTTGATTTTTAGTATGGATATTACCATCAGGTTGTCACCCTATTCCTAAAGGACCCTCATTGCTAAAGGCCTGTCCAGGCAGTCCCAAGGGAACCGAGCTCCTGGCTGTCTCAGACGTGCTCCTGAGAGGACGCTGGGGCCTGCACTTGCACTTCAGAAGGACTTCTCCGTCTGCCCCTCCTCCCTTTTCTCCTTTTTGCTCTATTGAGCCTAAGAGCCGAGCCCCAGCCCGCTCCAGAGCACTCTCTGCCTGCAGGAAGCCAGCCCGGTGGTCATTTCTCTCCTGTCCTTCTGATTCATCTGTGAACTCATTCATCTCCGTAGCTTTGCTGTGCTGGGGTGGAACCAGGGCCTCATGCCTGCGGGGCAAGCTCCACCACTGAGCCGCTCGCGCCCCTGGCACAGTCAGCGGCTGGCAGACACCTTGCAGACACGTGGCTGCCTGCCCGGAAAAGCCATCTGGTGGCGCCATTGTGGGGTGGCAGTGGGGTGGGCGCTCTTCCTCCTTCCTGGGTGAAGACACTGGCCGAGCAGCCGAGGGTCATCGTGGGAGCATCTCGGGGCCCTGGGTTGAGGGCCCCCTTCTCTTCGTATCTCTGGGAGCCGTACTGAGTTTGGAGGAAGATGCTCTGGGGCCGGTGGATCTGGGCTCCGATGTGGCTCTGCCCACTCTCAGCGGTGACCTTGGCCCCTGGGCCCTGGGCGGCCTTGGTCTTCCCAGCTGGGAAATGGGGGGGGGCCTGGGAAGGAGGTAGGTGAGCAGGCCCGGCTCATGGGGAACCTGTGCTCAGGTGTTTGTTGCTCTTAAAATTATTTGTAGACTTTAATTTTTTGTGTCATTCAGAAGCTCATTGTCCAGTAAGGTAGTAGCTAGCCACGTGCAGCTACTGGGCACTTGAAGGGTGGCTGGTCCAAATTAAAATGCAAAAGACTCACCGGCCACTGAAGGTGCAGTGTGCAAACCAGAATGTGGAGGAGCCCGTGAGCAGTGGCCTCTTGATTCCGTGTTGGAGTGGTCACGTCCTGATGCCCTGGGTTATATAAATTATTGAAATTGAATTGTACAGGGCTGGGATATAGCTCAGTTGGTAGAGTGCTTCCCTTGCAGGCACAAGGCCCTGGATTCAATCCTCAGCACCACAAAAAATAAAAAATAGAAAATCCTACATGTGGCTCGTGTGATCTTCCTGTTGGAGAGTGCTGATTCCAATAAGAATCCCATCATAGTCTGTGAGGATTGAAGGAGAGACACGGACTCTTTTATTTTAATTGTGAACTAAAGCCATGAATGCCAGTGAGGGCTTTGTGAAAAACAAAGCTATTGAAGAAAACTTGTACTGGGTGGGATTGTGCAGGCCTGTAATTCCAGTGACTTGGGAGGCTGAGGCAGGAGGATCACTAGTTGGAGGCCAGCCTCACCAACTTATTGAGGCTCTGGCTGAAAATAAAAAATAAAGAGGGCTGGGCATGTGGCTCAGGGTTAAGCGCCTAAATTCAATCCCTAGTAACCCCCTACACACATAAAAAAAAAAAAAATTGTGCTATTTCAGAAGCAACCCAAATAGTGCCATTCTAGTGTATCTTAGAACATTGTGCTATAAATCCAATTGTTTTGATATTAATTTTTCAGTAATTATTTTTATATTCTCTTCTAGCGACAAATTCACTAGATTTTGTCAGTGGAAAAACGTAGAATTAAATATTCATGTGAGTATCATCTTTTTCTTTTTTTCCTTCTTTAAATAAAAACCTTGCCCTGGCTTCCCCTCGTGAGAAAATACTTCCTTCTGGGCCCTGCTCCCAAGGGGTCGCTGCCTGACCAGAGGCTGCTCTGCAGCTCGGCTGACCAGATGCTGCCCTGCACTCCCGGGTGTGTTGAAGGGCCGCCCTCCCGCCCACTGCAGTGAGCCCTCTCTCCTATTCATGGAAGAACGTGCTTATTTACGCAAGAAAGGATTTTTTTAAGCAGTARTTGACCCTTTGACAAAAATAGTAGTGAAACTCGGACCTCCTGCCTGAGGCGGCTTCCRTCTTCCTTCCTGTCCCTCTCCCTTCTTAGGGCTCCTTTCCCTTCTCTCATTATGGGATGGAATACTAAAAGGTGGGCCCGCATCTGTAATGACGTCACTGTAAAGACGGTGACGTCATTACAGATGCAGGCTTCCTCTGGCGGTCACCGCGGAGGAGGGGCGTGGTCTGGGCGCAGGCCCTCCTGCCCACCCCACCCGGGGTCTCCTAGCTCTCCGTGTCAGTGGGTCCGGGTGGMCTCTCATGTCACCTCCACGGTGCAGCCTTCAGGCCCCTCAGGTTCTCTCATCCGTGAGCCGTTGAACGGGGCGAAGGAGTGGACTGGATTTTTCTTTTCTTTTCTTTTTTTTTTTTTTTAAGATTTTTCCCTGGGCAGCGCAGTGGAAGTGGGATTTTTGTTTTGTTTTTTTAGCTTCCCCTTTACGTCCTGTTCCGTGGCAGGATTTAAAAAGCAAGAAGTGACACACATTTTGCCCCGCCCCTTGTCCCCCGGGAGCTCTCCGCGGTCCCTGCTCCCCGGCTGACCTGGGGTCCTTGGGACTCGGCATCCACCGCGAAGCCCGGGCTGAGTGCAGGCTGGCGGGATGCGGGGGTGACATTCCTAGGGCTGTGGGGGACCCCGGAGACTCTCACCCTGAATTTGCCGGGTGAGATGAGCGGGGCTTGCTGTGCCCTCACGTCCCTCACCCAGAGCGCAGGATGCTCTTTCTGCTCTCGCGCTGTTGGCCGCAGCTGAGGCTCCTGCAGTGGGGACGCCCGTGACGGGGACAGTGCTGATCAATGAGGCGCCTGTGTGAGCCTGGGGCTGGCCAGCCCYGCAGGAGCCCCTCGCTTCCCTGAGGGGGCCGACAGCAGCTCATGGCCCCTGCTGGGCTTCCCTGTCCTGTGCCCGCTGCTCTGAACACAGGTGCCCCTCCTGCAGACGTGTCCCTTCCTGCCACAGCGGCTCAGCGCCCTCRGGCGTTCCCCAGGCTCCGGGCTCCAGGGTGGGAGGTTGTTCCTCAGGCTTCTCCTTCCACTAGGATCGCCACGCGCGGGTCAGTGTGCTGCCCTCTGAGGCCGCCCACAGCGGCCCCCACTCCGTCCTCTTCCCTCTGGCCTCCGGTGGGAGCCTGCTGCTCCTTGGAGGTGGCCTGGAGCAGTCGGGGATAGTCTCACCCTGTGCGCTGCATTCTTCAGCTTAGGGACCATCGTGGGGGGCAGGAGATCCTGCATGASACCCCGACTTAGGTTTTTCATGAAAAAGAAGAATCTTTGTGATGACCTACCTTACCCATCTCCCCTTGTCACCCTGTGCTCCGACTTCACAGTTGACCATGAACGACTTCAGTGTACATAGGATCATCGGACGGGGAGGATTTGGGGAAGTGTACGGTTGCAGGAAAGCGGACACTGGAAAAATGTAAGCCTTCTGTCTCCCCATATCTCACCAGAACTTTTTTTTTTTTTGGCACAGAAAAAATGAATTCATTTATTTATTTATTTTTATTATTGATTTTATTTTTTTTAAATACACGACAGYGGAATGCATTACGATTCTTATTACACACATAGAGCACAAGTTTTCATATCTTTGTATAAAGTGGGTTCACGCCAATTCATGTCTTTCTACGTGTACTTGTTATTTTTGCATTACAATTCTTATTACACAYATATGCCATAATTTTTCATATCTCTGTTTGTATATAAAGTAGGGTGACACCCAATTAGTGTCTTCATAATGTACTTTGGATAATGACGTTAATCACATTCCACCATCATTGCTAATCCCCTGCCTCCTCCCTTTCCCTCCCACCCCTCTGCTCTATCCATGTTCCCCTTCCCTACCCCACTATGAGTCAGCCTCCTTATATCAGAGAAAATATTTGGCATTTGTTTTGGGGGGGTTGGTTAATTTCACTTAGCATTATCTTCTCCAACGCCATCCATTTACCTGCAAATGCCATGATTTTATTCTCTTTTATTGCTGAGTAATATTCCATTGTGTATATATGCCACATTTCTTTATCCATTCATCCACTGAAGGGCATCTAGGTTGGTTCCAGAGTTTAGCTATTGTGAATTGTGCTGCTATAAACATTGATGTGGCTGTGTCCCTGTARTATGCTGTTTTTAAGTYCTTTGGGTAWAGACMRAGGAGAGGGAYAGCTGGGTCARATGGTGGTTCCATTCYCARWTTTCCAAGGAATCTCCATACTGCTTTCCATATTGGCTGCACCAATTTGCAGTCCCACCAGCAGTGTATGAGTGTGCCTTTTCCCCCACATCCTCACCAACACTTATTGTTGTTTGTCTTCATAATGGCTGCCAATCTTACTGGAGTGAGATGGTATCTTAGAGTAGTTTTGATTTACATTTCTCTGATTGCAAGAGATGTTGAGCATTTTTTCATGTACTTGTTGATTGATTGTATGTCCTCTTCTGAGAAGTGTCTGTTCAGGTCCTTGGCCCACTTGTTGATTGGGTTATTTGTGTTTTTGGTGCTTAGCTTTCTGAGTTCTTTAGATGCCCCAGAGATTAGTGCTCTATTCACCAGAACTATTAAGAGAATTCTATGCTTGGGACAAAAGGACAACTCTGTATAGAAATAGGGACGCCATGACCCCGTTCCTGAGGTGATGGATGGCAGAGGAGCCAGGTTGTACCTTGTTGAGCAGCAAGAAGGAGAACAGGAAGCCTGACCACCCCTCCCTGGGTTCGTGGGACACGCAGAGCACCCCCCAGGGGTCAGGCCGGGGAAGACCCAGATGGAGAAGGAGCCGCTGTCYTTAGTCCCCTGTCGGGGCACAGTGAGAGACCCAGTGTGGGGTGGCACAGCGCGTCAAGAGCCACGGTGGCTGGGCAGTTTAGGGTGGAGAGGGGGGAAGCCCTGCTGAGGATGGGCAGCAATCGGTGCTCCCTCCCTCCCCTCAGAACCTTGTCCGTGGGGAGGGCCTGCGAGCCAGCAGAAGGGCCTGGGGGAGTGAAGGGTGGGGAATGCTTGTCATCAGACAGGAGCATGTTTCTGAGAGCAAAGAGTGGCACACGTTGGCCTAGGAGGGTGCACATGGGAGCTTTGGGCCAGGTGGAGCCGAGCCAGGGCCAGAGCACTGGGCTGGGCGAGGTGGCACAGGCCTGTCATCCCAGTGGCTCGGGAGGCTGAGGCAGGAGGAACACAAAACCAGCCTCAGCCACAGCGAGGCCCTAAGCAGCTCAGTGAGACCCTGTCTCTAAATAAAATACAGAATAGGGCTGGGGACGGGGCTCAGGGGTCGATGGCCCCTGAGTTCAATCCCCAAAACCCTTGCCCCTCCCCCCCCAAACCTGGACACTGATGAATTCATAATTCCTGCCTGGTGACACACCACATGCACACTGCCAGCCTTGCCCCATAGTAGGGGGGAGCAACGCACAAACTTTATTCCTATTCGTCTGCTTTATGCATTCGTTAGTGGGGACTTCTGTCCCTGGGGCRATGGCATGTCTTGCTGGATCCCCCRCCCCACATGCAGAGTTAAGAGTCCTCCTGGGACACTGGGCTGTTTCCCCTGCTCCTCATACACATCGCCCAGGTCTTCAGAAATCTCCTCGGCCTGACGGGTGCTGGGCTCGTGTGGTGACTCAGGGTCTGTGTTTGCAGGTACGCCATGAAATGCCTGGATAAGAAGCGCATCAAGATGAAGCAAGGAGAGACGCTGGCCCTGAATGAGCGAATCATGCTGTCCCTCGTCAGTACAGGAGTAAGTGTCCCTCGTCCCGGGTTGCCTCGACATCTGTCTGTCTGTCCTGGGTCAGGACAACTTGTCTCCTCTGTCTGATCATGGGGCGGGATGAGGCCTGGGGGGGTCCCAAGCGTGGCAGTCAGGAGGGGTGACAGACTTCCCGGAGCTCAGGGGACACCTCGCGGTGCCACCTGTTCACGTGTCCTTGATTTCCTGCGTCGCAGAGGAGAGGAGCTAAGATGGTGGAGAATAATMGTGAAAGAAAAAAATCACTTGAATATAGGAAAATGACTGGCCCAGGAGCACCCAGGGAGGGCTCCCACCTCCACCAGCAAATCAGAGGGCGCGGCGGGGGCTGGCAGAGCCTGAGGGTCCTCTGGGTGGGCCCTGGGCTGCAGGCGATGCCTCCAGAGGTGAGTTCATCTCCCCCACAGCTGGCTGCTTCACCGCCAGGGCCGTGGGCCTGTCCACCTCACAGCACTCTCCCCGTTGCACATTTTGTTCATATGCCAGGCTCATTTTTGCCATAGCACTTGCGGGAATGACCTCTCACCCAGTGACCTCTCACCCAGTGTCCTCTTTATTTCCAAAGCAGCTTCCCATTCTGATGGCTTTGTGTGAACTGTGTTGACATCCATCAAATCCTTGGCTTTGCCAGGTGCGCTCGGTGGCGCAGGCCTGTAATCCCAGTGGCTTGGGAGGCTGAGGCAGGAGGATCACAAGTTTGGGACCAGCCTCAGCAACTGAATGAGGCCTTAAGCAACTTGGGAGACCCTGTCTCAAATTTAGAAAAGTCAATAAATAAAGAAGGGAAAAAGGCTGGGGATGTGGCTCAGTGGTTTAGCACCTCTGGGTTCAGTCCCCAGAACATACATACATACATAAATAAAATGAAACCTTGGCTTTGAGGCGGGGTGTCCTCAGTGGTGGGGCACTTGTCTGGACGCGCAGGCCCTGGCCCCCATCACAGTGCAAAGAAACCAACACACACGACACTCCCCCACCTTTTGCTTTGATTTCTGTGTAAAGACGCCACTGTGTCCCAGGACACGTCCAGCAAGGCCTCCCCGGCAGCCTGTGTGTGCACATGCCCACTAGCCTGGCTCCTGGCTGTGAGGAGGGGAGCGGGGCAGAGGGCGTAGGCTGAGTCCTCTGTGTAGCCCACCCGTGAAGTTAATGTCGGACACCCAGCCCAGCCAGCCGGTGTATATCAGGGACACGTGGGGGCTTCTGGGTGTCACTGGATTTCATGCCCAGGCAGCCTCTCCTGAAGGATGTGGAAGAGTCAGACTTTAGTGGCTGATCAAAGAATCCCCTTCACCCAGCGAGCCATGAACCTGAGACCCAGGGGGCTTCGTTTCTTTGCCTGAAGGCTCTGGACTCCGGGCCAGCGCTTCCTTCCTACCAGCGCTTTGTGGGTGAAAGGTCTTTGCTTATGGCCTGGGCTGACTGTATTGTGGGTCACATTCTTCCAGCAAGATTGTCAAAAAGTGCTCTAGAAGGCCTGTTCCTAGAGCAAAGGAGCAGTCGGGTCCAGCTGAACCGTCGCCACCAGAGCTCCGTGGCCCACAGCAGCCCCTCACCTCCTGCTCCTCTCTTCCAATATAGGGGCGTCAATCAGACTCACCTGGCGTGTGTGAGCACCCCACTGGGTGGGTGTGTGCGGCACGAGCTCCCGGTTGCTGTGGGCCTTATCTGTGTCTTAAGTTTCCAATGTGCACACAGCCGCTGCAGATTTTCAGCAGTTATTAAAATCCTCGTTTTTAATGAGCTATCTCCAAGCCAGGGATATTTATTCTCAAGGAAGCCTCTGCGGAGACGTTTTGATGTTGGAGAGACGTGAAGGACCGTGTTCATGTAGCATTTTAATATTTATTATATTCAGATGAGGGCGGATCTGGTTAAGAAGTGGTTTGATTCCTCCCTGATCTGACCTTAAGGGAATCAATTTAAAAATGGGGTTATATGGGGCCGCTGCTTTGAGCTAATTCAAAAGAATTATTTATATTTTTATTCAAATATTAAGCTGTATTGCTGTTTTTTTTGAATTTATAAAGATATGATGTCACCTTCAGAGTCCGAGTAAAGCCAGAGGGGATCGGATTTCCACAGTCAGAGGCCTCTTTTGTGAACTTTTACCAAAATGCTCAGCTGAAATCCACCCTGTGGGGCAGAGCCCTGGGCAGCTGTGCCCAGGGTGTCCTGGTGGAGCCTGTGCTGTGTTGGCACGTGCCATTTGCCCTTGGGTTTGGTCCCCCTCTGCTCCCCCGTTTTGCATGAGCACAGCCCCCCTCCTCCCCCTAACGAGGCGGTGGGAATCAACCTTCCAGTTTGCTTCTCCCTGTTCCCATGGGAGGAAGGAAATGCGTGTGTTTGAGAACCAGGCGACGCACCTGCAGTTGTGCAGCAAATTCATGGAGGAGCCTTGTGGGCTCCGGGAAGCCCCGCCGCTGTACCCCCAGAACCCTGGAGGGCTGGCACCGCTGCTTGAGGCTCCTAAAACCTGACTTTTTTTTTCTTTGCCCTTATACTGCGTCAGAGGGGAGGTGACGCTTTTCAGGTGTCTTGGAAAGGTAGCTCATCGGGACGCGTGGTGAGAACTGAGGCCTACAGCCCAGGGCCTGGGGGGAGTGATGGGTGGACACGGCAGCCTCGGGTCCCCAGGAGGCACGTGAGGGCACAGGGCGGCCCGGGGGTGTGCTCTTGGGTGACTGTGTTAGAGTTTGGTTGAGTCTGGGAAGGTCCAGGCTGAGGGCTGGTTGGAAGGGGGGCTCGGGGGAGCTGTTAAGGAGGCTTCCTTGAGGAGCGGGGGCCCAGACGGGAACTCTGTAGGGGGCTGGCACCCTGGCTGGCTGCCAAGTTTCTCTGACCTCAGGCAAGTCCTCTGCCCTTTAGGGGCCCTGGCTTCCTGTCTTTAAAATAAAGGCGTCAGACAAGGTGTTGTTTAAAGACTCCTTCCTAGTCCAGTGGTTTCTGCTTCTAGCTCTGAAATTCACGCCCATCTTAGTCACTCTTCAGGAGACTTTGACCTTCTGCCCTGGTCTCAGGCCCTGCATTGGAGGGACCATATGCCATCAGGTTGAGAAATCCGCCCCCCCCGGAAAGCCCTCGTGTCCCCCTGGTGACATGGGTGCAGTTCCCAGCTGGTGACTGGGTCCCCCACTTCCCTGCTCTGCAGTTGGATTGCTGTCAGAGCAGAGCCGGGGCACGTGGGCATCCCTGGGAGCAGGAAGTGCGATACCTGACATCGAAGGGCAGCTATCTGCAGGAGGCCATGGAAAGGCATGGAGGGACAGAGGTGGGCTCTAGGTAGGACAGGCCACAGAAAGGCCCCCCGGGGTTCCCACAGAGAGACAACTCTACCTAGCGTGGAAGAAGTCTTGAAATCAGAAGACGACACCCTCTCAACAGGACTCTAGGGAAACTGGGCCAACACAGTGAACTTCCCAGTTCACCCTGGAGTCACTTTCTCCGGAACATTTATGGAAATTGAGTTCAAGTGCCCGAGTCTTCAGCACCCAGGAATGTGGTAACTCAAACTGACCCAAATGCCCTTCTGTCGAGGTCTTCACAGTGCAAATTCTGTTTACCAATTATTTTGTGGGAACTTGAACATTTCCTTTGGAATTTAATAATATGCTGTATCTGTTAAGAAAGTGGATATAAATAGCCTCTGCCATTTAAAATTCAAATCACTTCAGGAGTGATTACACGCTGTATACCAAGGATCTGGATAGATCTAGGGAGCACTGGCGTGCTTTCCCAAGAAAACACGAGTGTCCAGCACCCAGGACAGGAGAGAGGTCACCTGTGTTCCAGACGCCTCCTCGCAGCTCTGCCAGTCCCTGACCCCAAGTTCACTGCCTTCCAGATCTCCAACACTATGACTCAGCTCTGTTGATGCTGTGTGAACTTTACAAAAAATGTGCCCCTCTGTGTGTGGTTCTCTCACTCAGTGTCACGTGTGAGATGTGTCTGTGTCACATGCCAGAAGAATACGATGACAGAGACTACGTGTGACCTGCTCACCCTAAAATATTAACTGTCCAGCCCTCTGCAGAAAATATCTGCGGACCCTTGCTCCACAGCGCTCTGCTGCACGAAGATACCACCCTGACTTATCCATTCTGTGCTGACAGACATCTGAGGCATTTCCTGGCCTGGATATTTGAGGAGCGCTGTATGGAACATTCTTGGGCAGGTGACTTGGTGCATCTAAGTGCAGATGGTTCCAAGTGTCTACTTTGGAGTGGAATCACCTGATCAGGGCATTTGCAGGTGATGCTCAGCCTTGATAAATACTGAAGCCACCTTCTGATTCTGCACTCCCAGCAGCCGGTGTGGAAATCCCACTCGCTYCGTACCTTCCCGACACCTGTCACGCTTGCTCATTATGTTTAGTGCTTCCTGTGGGGTTTGGTGCTAGCATATGGTTTTAATTTGAATTTCCCTGGAGAGTCCCCAGAGTCAGTGTCTATGCAGAGGCTTGGGGACATTTAGTACTCTCTAATGTGAAATGCCTAATTAATTACATAGTATTTTTGCCATTTTTCTTTTGAATGTTTCGTCTTTCTCTTGATTGATTTCTAAGAGTGCTTTATGTATTCTAGACATGGGTCTCTGGTGCACGTGCATATTTACCAGGGTCTTCTCCCATTCTGTGGCTTGGCTCTTTTCTCGTGGGGTGTTCTGATTCACAGAAGCTCCTAATTTTATGACAAGTGCAGTTTATTGATATTTTCACTGTTAGCACTTTTTGTGGCCTAAGAAATCTTCACCCAGGATCATCAAGATGCCCTGTGTTTTCTTGAAGAAGCTTCTTGCCTTATCTTTCCCATGTAGACTGACATTGGGGGAGGGGGCAGGGGTGGAGTTAGAGTGTGGTGTGAGGTGGGGGGGGGGGCACAGCCTGCACAGATTTCAGCTGCCCCAGCACCACCCCTGAAAAGGCCAGCCTTGGTCCTGCCCCTTTGAGTCACCTTGATCAGGACCCACGTGACCATCTCTGAGTGGGTCCCCTTGAGGATTCTGCTCTGCTCTACTGGTCTCCTTGTCCTTGGGCAGTGCCACCCTGGCTGAATTCCTGGTGCTTCATCAGGCCTTGACCTCTGCACTGCCACTTCCCAGCTCTGCTGTTTTTCAAGTGTCTGGACTTTTCTTGACAGTTTATGTTTCCATAGATTTTGGAATCAGCTTGTCAGTGTTCCTCGGGATCAAGGTCACCTGGAATCCACAGATTCATTAGGGGATAGTTAAATGTGTTTCCAGTTGAGTGATCCCGTCCCTGACCGCGGTCTATTTTTCCACATTCAGAAGCGCTCCGTTTTATTCTCAGTGCTTCTGAACAGTAGCACCGACGCCATTCCTTCCTGTCAGACACTTCTCCAATTGTAGAAGCAGAGGTGGATGCGGGGGGGGGGGGGGGGGGGGGGGGGGGGGGGGGGGGGGGGGGGGGGGGGGGGGGGGGGCCTGAGTGATGGGAACCTAAATACTGACCAGCACAATGGCGGCTGGAAGGGCAGATGTTTTTTTTCTCTGCAGACTCCGGACTTTGACGAGGGTGTGATCAGCGTGGTCACGGCGCACTGGGGGCGCTCTGGGAGCGCGCTGGGGATGCACTGGGGGCGCATTGGGAGCGCAGTAGGCTTGGGTCCCCTGGGTGGGTGGGGCTCCAGCTGCGTCTCTCCTGGGCCTTCGCTGACCTCCCCTCTGGGGCCGGGGCGGGCGGTGGACCGGCCATGCTCTGCTCACCAGCCTGTGCTCTCCCGCAGGACTGCCCTTTCATCGTGTGCATGACCTACGCCTTCCACACCCCGGATAAGCTCTGCTTCATCCTCGACCTCATGAACGGTGAGCGCGGAGCTCCGCCCTGTCCAGGCTCAGGCTGCGCCCCTGTCCAAGCAGCTGGCGGCTGGCCGGGTCCACCCCCACCCCCGGGGGCCTCCAACAGCCTCCCCCCCTCGGTTTTCAGCTAAAATCCATTTTACACCGTGGACTGTGATTTCCCTTGGGCCTGCCAGGCTCTCCCGGGGAAGTGGGATTTTGCTAGAAGATATTCTCATGAAATGCTGGCTGTGACTTTTTACCTTCTGGAATGCAGCTGGCCGGGGGGCTTTAATTAGCTCAGTTCCCGGCCCTCCTCCCTTGTGTCTTAGGGATGGAATACCTCACAAGAGCACAAGCTCAAGATAGGTGTAGGCACAGACACCAGCAACGAAGGACCCCTGGGGCCAGCGAGGAGTGTGGACCAAGCTGCCTACCTCCTGGATCCACAGCTCTCCCGCCCTCGGCTAAACCATGAGCCGGATCCTGAGAACGCCAAATTCCATTTAGCTGGAAAAGCCACTTTCTAAGGGAATAGATGGGCTGGTGAATATGCAAAGTGGTTTAGTAACAAGAGTAGAAAGGAGAAGGCTGCCATTCTAATGTGCAGATGCCTGCTCTGTTCTGATGTTCCCTTAAAGTTTTACTCTATTCTCTTTTATTTACTTTTTTGGAACCAGGGGATGAACCCAGGGTCACCCAACCACTGAGCCACATCCCCAGCCCTTTTTTGTATTTTATTTAGAGACAGGGTCTCTCTGAGTTGCTTAGGGCCTCGATAAGTTGCTGAGGCTGGCCTTGAACTTGCGATCCTCCTGCCTCAGCCTCCCAAGCCGCTGGGAAGAAAGGTGTGCGCCACTGCACCCGGTTGGTTTTACTATATTCCAAATGTTTGATTGAAAACCAGATCTATCCAAAAATACAAAGGAGGGGCTAGGGATGTGGCTCAAGCGGTAGTGCACTCACCTGGGGCGCTGAGTTCGATCCTCAACGCCACATTAAAAAAAATAAAGATATATAAAATAAAATAAAATAAAGAATTCTTAAAAAAATACAAAGGAATTCACAGACAGGGTAACCAACCCAAAACGCCAGAGATGTATCCCACATGACCCTGTGGACATGAGGGTCAGAGCAGGCAGCCAGTGGACAGTGATGGGCAGAAGAGCTGCCAGGGGCCAGGGCCCACACACTGACTGCAGGGCTTGGGGGCCTTAGGACAGTGGGGATCCTTCACATTTTGATCTGGTGGCAGCTGAGCTGTAGCGCGCCTGTGGGGAGGAAGAATCTTGTAAAAAGGTGGTCAAAAAGGTTGGACACACATTAGCTTTTATAAATGAATAAGGCTTTCTCTGTGGTTCGTAGAAACACCCCTGACTGTTGGTGACACTGTGTCCCTTTAACAAGAAGCTGCAGGAGGAGTCCTTTTCCCAATGTGGCATTAAGAAAACCTTCAAACATGCCACAGAGTTGAAGAATATCGCCAGGGACACTCCAATCCCCACCACCTGGAGTTTGCCTTAAAATTTTTACTGTATTTGCTTTATCAAATCTCTCTCTAGGCTGGGTGGGTGGCCCATGCCTGTCATCCCTGTGACTCAAGAGGCTGAGGCCGGAGGATCACAAGTTCAAGTCTAGCCTCAGCAACTTAGCGAGACCCTGCCTCAAAATAAACCTAGCTCAGAGGCAGAGCACCCTGGGCTCAATCCCCCGTACAGACCAAACAACTCCTCCAGGTGAACAGTTTGTATCTTCTGTTTGTCTATGGAGGCGGATGATCACAGGGCCATCTCTGGATCTGTATGTAGGTGGATTTGGTTCCTGGACAGGATTTCAGGGGATCGGGGCAGGTTGGCTGGTCCCCCTGGATGGTGTAATTGGGAGCTGAGCTTCCAGCCCAAGGAAGCCCCTCCCTGCCTCCTCAATCTTCTTATCGCTTAAGTTTCTCTAAACCTTTAGCCAGTCTACTGAAATCAGAGGTAGGTGTGTAGACCAAGCCCTGGCCCCGTTCTGCTGGGCCGTGACTATTTAGGGTGACAGTGACTCTGTTTTGCTTTAACAACGTGCTGTGAATGAGCTTCTCCATCTGGTTCCAGGGGGCGACCTGCACTATCACCTTTCCCAGCACGGGGTGTTCTCTGAGAAGGAGATGCGCTTCTACGCCACGGAAATCATCCTGGGGCTGGAGCACATGCACAGCCGGTTCGTCGTGTACAGGGACCTGAAGGTGAGCACGGGGCACCGGCCCCTGCAGCGTGGTGGGCACAGGTGTTGAGCCGGCGGTCCCTGGGCAGTCCCATTGTCTCCCCGAGGGGCAGGGCCTTTCTTCACAGCCCCATCTCTGTGATGTCAGTCCCTCCCAGACCAGAGTCTGCAGGGCCGGAACCCCTGGCCAGCCCTGTAGTCACAGGAACCTCAGCGCCCGCTACAGTGCCCGGTGCAGCGCAGACACTAAGTCAAGAACAGAAAGCAATTAGCTGGGGGCAGTGGCCCACGCCTGTAATCCCAGCGGCTCGCCTTCGAAATCCTCAATAGGAGTTTAGATCCCTGAAGCCCATAACCACAGGGATCTCTGTTCATAGCCAGGCATTAAAAATCATGAGGTTGGCTGATTCTGAGTTCGCCACTCCAGGCTGTGGGCGTGGTCCTGGGTTCTGCATGGAGCAGGGGTCAGGAGGTTGCTCATGACATCCAGGTGATGCTCATCCAGCTGTAATGGACAAGGGCCTGAGGACAGGTGGAGATCAGAGGGACCATGGCAGACCATAGACACGCTCGTGCGACCATCTAAATGTGTAGCTAATAATGGGGCGAAAATGGACAGGAGAGCCCTTTGCTGATGGATGAGGAGATGCACGAGAGAGAGCTTGACTCTCATGCCAGATCCCTTCCCAAGGGCCCACAGTGGCCGGTTGTAGCGTCCATGTCACCTGCCTCTCCCTAAGGAGCTGAGGCGTGGATTGGCGTTCTCAGGCRTGGGGGCGTCATTAGCGTGAACCTGCACAGCCAGTTGCGGTGTAGAGGGGCCTGAGGGTAAGGACAGGTGCGGGCCTGCTACAAATCTAAAACACTGTTGTTTCTGAGCACAGTATGTTTCCCACAAAACACTTTGTGAATTGCAAAGCTTTCCTCAAGGTTGAAGAATTATTCCCTTAGTGTTTGTGTGAGCATAAAGAAGAAAGTGTATTTTATTGAATTAGTAATAATTAGACATTGGTTGGCTCATGACATTTCTTTATGTGAGCTTCACAGAATAAAATACATGCTGGAGGCCCATGAGGTGTCATTATCATACATTTTAATTTAAATCTATAACCGGTTTCTAGTCATCTTGATGCTGTATTTTTGTTTTCTAAGCTATTTAGTAAGCAGTGGCATTATTTAATTTCTATTCAAACTTAATTCAAGTCACTCATGATTATTCATGCTTCGGTTTTATAATAACATGCCATTATTTTTATTTCAAGCAAAACAATAGTTGGTCTCCGGCAGAAAAAAAAAATGTCATTAGGGAGACTGTAATTCAATGTATATTAGGGAAGGGAACTTGGTTTTCCGTGATTAGACTGGCCAAATCTAATCTTAATAGATGCATTTCTCAGAGTTGTGGGTGGAATCATGTTTGGTCATTTGGTCGGGCCCTTGGTTAATGGTGTACAAATAAACAGATGACATTTATGGGGATTAGTGTGGCACCATGGAGTGCCTGGCTGTCGTGGGTCAGTGTCTTCGACTGGCTGGGGTTCCTTTCTGTCCTGTGCTACCCGGACTCATTTTCTGAGGTCCTGTGTCTCATGTCAGCCAGGAGGCCAGCAGCCCGGGTCCCTGTTGGCTGGAGGCCCCACCCTGGCTGTCCCGCAGTTGCTGGGCGCTACTGAACTGTGGTGGGGACCTTCGGGGTTACCTGCCCCGTGTCTGATCCCGGGGAGCAGAACCTTCCCGCTCTCCCCCTGCCACTTCCTGCCAAAGTCAGGGTGAACAGTGTCACCCTCGGTCCTGCCCTACTCTGATGTGATAATATAAAGCTGTCACTCGTGATTACAGATTCACTATGATAAAAGTGTTAAGATGCAGAGTGTGCGAGCTTGTAGATGTCCCCATACCCTGGAACGTTCTGGGGACTCCTGAAGCTCATCTTCTGTTTCCCTTCAGCCTGCAAATATCCTCCTGGACGAACACGGACACGTGAGGATATCAGATCTTGGTCTCGCCTGTGATTTTTCAAAAAAGAAGCCTCATGCGAGTGTGTAAGTAGCACACCCACCAAGCCCGGGGCCTTCCTCCGCTGTGACTCACGGTTCTGTGGGACGCTGGCTTGGCCACTGGTGCCCCCTGTGCCCCCACCAGCCCTGATTTCACGATGTGATAACACAAGTCAGGGGAGGGTCCAGTATTGCAGGTTTGGGGAGCAGAAATAAGAGTGGGTGGGCTTCCTGTCTCTGTGTGTGGGGAGCATGAAGGCCCTCGGTGGAACAGCCTGCTGGGGGATGGGTGGTCAGCCGGCCTTGCAAAGGGGTGGGCTGCATGCTGCCATGGGACCCGCAGCAAGGCAGGGACCTCCTGAACCCTCGGTCTCTTCTGCCATGGAATAGAGATAGCAGTAAATCATGGAAGAGCCCGTGGGCTGACGGGGGTGCGGGCAGCTGCGCGCAGAGCTCTCCAGGCAGGGGCCAAGGCCAGGTCTCCCTTTCCACATCTGCTTTCCTCCTTTTTCCAAAGAATTTGCTGGGTTTTGGTATTTCCGGTCCCCCCCCCCAACACACACACACACACACACAAGAAACCAGGATTTCTTCTGAAATTAAAGCAGCTAATCATCCACTTACAATTAAAAGGTCACATTGCTAGATCCAGATATTGCACCAATCCTCCATGTGACCATACAGAGGGGACTCCTGAGGGATCCTCGGCCCTTCAGCAGACACGGAGCAGCTCTTGGCCAGTGGACATTGGCCAGCCTGGTTCCTGGTACCCCCTGATTTCACRGCAGGCCAGCGAGCCAGCTCTCCCAGGGCTCTGTGGAAACCGTGTGGGACACACARGGGTTTTCGTTTCTGACTCTTTGGTGTCAGGTTTTCGGCGTTGGGGGTGGGGGTGGGCTGGATGTGTGCAGTTTGCAGTAAAGCAGGTGACTTTTGCTTTGTCTTTTAAACTCTCTCACATTTAGCACCGAATCCTTTAGAATTACATCTTATTGTCCCTCTTGAGCGAACATTGGTGTCCGTGTGGCATGACGTGGGGGAAGCTCTGGCTCTCTCAGTTCAGGCATCTGGGCAGAAAAGAAACCACAGACCCTTCTCCTTGTGTCTCCAGGAGTGGGTGGTTCTGAATCGTCCTACTTTGTGAGGGGCCACATTCAATCAAAAATTTACCCTTTCCAGCCGGACCCAGTGTTAACAGTGACCGGCGTCATTTCTGTAAACATATTCCTCTTCTCCCACAGAATCTGGGGTACAGTGATAAAAGCATTAGCGTTTGCTAGCACTTACAATCACCAGGCCAGAACCTGCGGTTGTGTAAGCTTCTCCCAGGGAGTTCATCAGACATCTTTAAGAGAGTCATTTGAATTTTTAATGCCACAGCTATTTGGTATGCTAATTTCTTCAATTTACTGTAGTCATAACTAAACAGAATCCAAGAGTTCATAAGAGATAATCTTCCGAAAGAATTGACTTGCAGACACGAGGTTCTTCATTGCTTCACAGGGCCCTGGTGACTTTCTGCTCACATCCTCGTCAACTAGAAGGGTGGGCTGTTGGCAACACAGGGCCCGAGCGGCTTCCCTGTTGAACTGCTGAGCGTGAGGCCACCACGTACAAAGCCCAGTGCAGGAGGCACTGCTTCCTGGTCACACACAGGAGCAGCTCGTGACTCGGGGTAAAGGCCCCAGGGCCACTARGCCCCGGTCAGCTTCTCCTGAACAACGTGTGAGCCTCCTTTCTCTCTTCCATAAGCACAGGACAGTGACAGTAGCCTCTTGTGCCATTGTGAGGACCAGTCCACTAAGTGACCCTACAAGTGTCTATTCCACACTTGCTGGGTGCCCGCTGCTAGCAATATGGTGGGGACAGACCTGACGCTGCCCTGGAACCTGCAGCCCAAGGAATGTGTGCAGGAAGTGACAAGTGGGAGGAGGGTGGTGAACCCAGGGCGTTCCTGGCTCCACCAGCCCGGCTTTGAATGCAGGATCATCATGGAAACCCCAGGAACTGGGCTTTGTTATCTGCTCTTCACCTGTGCTTGTTAAGGGCCAGGGGACGTGGGTGACTTGGACCAGGTCATGGGTCTGCAAGCTGGAGAGCTGGCACCATAATCCTCTCTTGTCTGAAGCCGCAGCCCRGCTCACTGGGTGGTGGCGAGCTCTGAGGCTCGCAGAGATCTCCCTAGTGCTGGGCGGAAGAGCCTTGGCCAGAGTCCACCCTGAACCCCATTTCTCAGGTCCACTCAAGGTTGCAGATGTGACCCTTGGGCTTCATCTAGTGGCTGCTCCACCTACAAACTAGCACTGGTTGAGCCTCCTGATCCGTGTTTAGACTTCACCTGTTTAGTGACAGAATCAAAGACTATTCCAGAATCACATCTAACTGGGGTAGCCASGAAAAACCAAAGGAAAAGTCACCCAGTGCGCCCTGAGGGGTGGGGAGGCGRAGATGGGTGTTAGTTCATCTTTTCTATCCTGGGAGATGTCTTTCCATTCCAGGATTGTGACCTGATCCTGATAATTATGGGCTGAAAGGTCACCAAGAGGGCTTTCCAGGCAATGCTCAAATTAAACCCTCCCAGAGAAGGGTTTGGATGCCCTGGTGGAGATTTCCTTCGCGCTCTGCACAGCTCCGTGGTCCTGCACCGGACCCGCCCCCGGAACCAACCCCACCCATCGTCACCTCTTCATAAGACTTTCAAAACKTTCCCCCTAGACAGGGCCTCCTGGGCCCAGGGATGACCCAGGATCCTTGCTGGTCCGGGGTGATTTCCTGGGCAGACCTCGCTGCCCCTGCGCCAGTGCATTTGAAGTAATTCTACTAGGACGAGAGCGGAGGCAGATCCCCGCTGGGGAAATGCGGAGCTGCTCTAGGCGCGCACCGTGAGATCCTTGGGCACCCCGAGAGTGGGGCGTTATCTCCTCACCCCTTTTGTTGATGAGGAAGATCAGTGAAGTCTGGGGGGTGCTGCAGGACGTGCCATAATGGCTTTTCAGACTTTCCAGCTGCGTGCTGGAGAAGTTCCCTGGAGCCCCTGGCTCCTCGTGGTGGAGCTGCGCATGCTCAGCTCCGGGCGGAAGGGCGGGAGGCAGGCAGGAGGGGAGGCCTTAGGAACCTTCAGCAGCTTTTAAAGCCAAAGGTGCCTCATCCACCTGGGAACTGGGCAGGGGTGGGGGGAAGGGCTGTGCTCCCACCCCCTCCCCACTCCCCCGGAGAGGGCACTGGACCTGGTGACCTGCCAGGTCCTTTCCCTCCTGCCTCCAGCCCCGCTCCAGCACCCCCTGCACCTCTGAGCAGAACTCTAGCAAGGACAGGAGGAGAGAAGAGCTAAGAGATTCAGATTTCACCCCTTAGGCCCTGGGGCTCCACTTCCATATCCGCTTGTGTGAACTGTTTCTGTGAATTCACACGCTAATGAAKGCAGAGAAGGTGGACTTCTCCTTAGAGGCTCTGGGCATGGTCTGGATGCACAGTGGTGGCCTTGTCTTGGGTCACAGCTGTGTCTCTTATGAACCTTAGGAGCCTGATCCTGGGGGGTGCCCTGATAACCTGGTGCCTTCTTCTCCCCAGGGGCACCCATGGGTACATGGCTCCYGAGGTGCTGCAGAAGGGGACAGCCTACGACAGCAGCGCAGACTGGTTCTCCCTGGGCTGCATGCTCTTCAAACTCCTGAGAGGGTGAGTGCAACTGTCCGCCCACCACGTACCTGGATCACACTGGAGAAGGCTCTGGGCAGAGGGTGTGGCTCAGTGGTGGAGTGATTGCCTGGTGTGCCAGGGCCCTGAGTTGGATACCTAGCAGCCCAGGAAGAAAATGCACAATATTTGGAAACGAGGAGACCCTGGTGTTGTCKAGAGTCACGCAGTGATCTCACTCTGAAAGATGACGTGGGGCTCCCAGGCCTGGAAGCCTGAGGGCTGCCCTCCTGGGAGCTCAGGGGTCCAAAGCCATGCAGGGCCTCACTCACTGCGTGGAAACCTAAAGTAAGACTGCTTCAAAGTATTTCCATTGGCAGCTCATTCATGTTCTGGAATTGTATTGAAATGTAGATATTAAAGAAGATGGGGTAAATTGGTTTTTTCCACATAAATCAGTTACTCATGGTTCTCTTGAGGGCTTAACACATTTTTGAGTTTTTATAGTTAATATTATATTCAGCTCTTGTTCCAACTGACAAATAAGATAGAATGGAAAAGATTCTGAAAGGGAAGTCCTCTCAAAGATGTTCCTGTGTTGAACAGCGATGTTGATGTTGCCATGTTTAAAGACCTTTTAGCCAACTTTAGTGGAGAATTCAATTTTCTTTTCTTTTCTTGCAGCCCTGGGGATGGAACCCAGGGCTCCCTGCGCTGGGCAAGTGCCCTGCCCCAGCCACACCCCAGCCCTGGAGCTCAGTTGTAATAGAGCTTTCTTGTATTCTTCATTTCTGAAGATGCAGAAAGCACTTCACAGTTTCCTAGTCAGGACTGTCCCTCTGCCACCTGTCCTTTGCCCTTGGCCCTGCAGGGGGCTGACCCTGTTCATCACAGCCTAAGTGAGCACGTGCGCAGCTTGCTCCATTCAGCACATCTGAAGAGATGCCAGCTCCGCCTTCCCGGGCCCAGGCCTGGGATCTGATGAGCYGGCCTTCTCTGCTCACTGTGCTCCCCGGGGACCCACAATCCTGTTATTGCTGAGGCAGTCGGGTCTGTTGTTCTGTAATTGAATCACCCTATTTGCGGAGCCTGGATGGGCTTAACTCCTGTCGTCAGACAAGCTGACCTGATTAGAGAGTTTATGCAAAGCAAACCAGAGAAAGCCATTGCCCAGGGGAGAGCCTGTCTCCCTGGGGAGCTGCCGGCAGGCGGTGGCAATGCCAGTCTTTGTTTGGATCCCTGCTGGGGACGGAATGGAAACACAGATTCCATGTCTAGGGAGCTTGAGGCTGATGGGAAAGTGGGTTCAGCAGGGAGGTCTGCAAGGCCTTGTGCTGGGGGCTGTGCTTCTCTGGTCCCAGGGTAGGCTGGGAGGGGCTGCTGTGGCTCTCCTGATGCACAGGAGTTGACCTTATGACCCAACAGGGTGGTTGCGGCTGATAAAGAGAGTCCCATYGTATTTGGCCACAGTTCAACTTTGCCACATGGGAAGAGATGCACTTTCCTGTGAAGCCCTTGGTTGCGCTCAATGGAAGTGTTCTGTTAGGGGGGCTCCTGAGGTGGTGGGGGGTCTGGGCTGGTGGGACACCCAAGGGAGGTCACAGGATGGGAAGGAGGAGAACAGCGAACGAGGCAGGGACTGTGTCTTCCAGGGAAAGGCTAGGAGAGGCCACCTGGCAGTCGGGGGTCCGGAGAGAGTGGCGCCCCCGTCCCAAGGTCGTGGTACTGAAGGGCTTTGCCCACTGTGACTACAGAGGGCAGGGAATTCAAGATTGGTACAAGACTGGGCATCAAGCACTGAGCCACCACCTGGAGGAGTGGTCTGCCCCAGTGTAGGAAGGATAGGGCAAGGTGAGTGTCCCCAGGAACACTGTGACCTCATGCCATAGTATCTGTTCAAAGTCCTCCACAGAAACCTACAGCCCTGAGATCAAAGCGTGGGAATGTGTTTGGCTCCAGGATTTGAGTTCAACTTGGTGCACTTTTATCGAGTACCTAACACACACGAGAGACGGTTCCGGGGAGGTAGGGGAGGGGAGGAGGAAGGCAGGGAGGCTGGAGGGCCACTGAGCCAGAATAGGGCCACCGCAGGATCACGGTATGGAGCCTGTCACAACTTGGCAGGGTGGCCGATGTCATGTCAGGCCATGTGGGAGRTGGGGTGCGAGTGGGCCGGTAGAGCCCGGCCAGGGGTGGGATGAGCAGAGGTTCCGCATGGGGGGCGAGCAGGAGCAGGCTGCTATCTCCCATGGTGCCCTGCATGGTGAGTCCCTGTCAGGGTGAGAAGACCAGGTCAGGACCTGGCAGCCTCAGATGCCTTGCTGGGGGTGTGGCCTTGGTCCCCAAGGTCCCCAACCCTGAAGACCTTGAGTACAGGAGTGCCAGGCAGTCAGGCTTTCAGCAGGAGGGTCAGGCAGCCACGTGGAGAGGGGAGGCGAGCGAGTACCGAGCCGGGTGTGGGCGCTTTGCCTGTGGAGGACAGTGGCATTGCCACCCAAACCAGCATCTGGAATCTCAGAGATTCAGAGTAAGCCCAGGTTCCTGAAGGCCTTTCAGGAACGAAACCCTGGGCTGGGGTCCTTGGGAGGCAGGACGGCACACAGGGCCTTCATCCCCTGAGCTGCAGACCAAGGCAGCAGCCACACGTGGGGGACCTCGCAGCAGTCTCTGGCATCCGGGTCTCTCCTGCTGTGGAGAAGGCAGCAGAAACAATGGAGCAGGAGGTTGACGGGCCTCTGGAGTGCTGGCWGAGGGTGGCCTGTCCCCTCTGCATCCTGGCACCCTCAAGAAACAGCCACAGCCGACCTGGAGTTGCACCTGGAGACACCTGGAGACATGCCTGGAGACACACCTGGGTTTACATGGAGACCTCTGGAGACACACCTGCAGACACACCTGAAGACACACCTGGAGACATACCTGGAGACACACCAGGGACATTTGCAGACACACCTGGAGACATGCCTGGAGACACACCTGGAGATACCTGCAGACGACACACCTGGAGGCACTCCTGGAAGTACCTGAAGATATACCCGGAGATATGCCTGAATATACCTAGAGATACACCTGGAGACACACCTGGAGACACGCCTGAAGAAATAACTGGAGACACCTAGACACACCCCTAGAGACATGCCTAGAGATATGCCTGAAAATACACCTGGAGACATGCCTGGAAACACCTGCAGTCACACCTGGAGACACGCCTGGAGGTACCTAGAGATATACTTAGACACCTGTAGACATACCTGGAGACATCTGGAGACACACCTGCAGACACATCTGGAGACACATCTGGGGACACCTGCAGACATGCCTGGAGACACACTTGGAGATACCTGGACACATGCCTGGAGACACACCTAGAGACATGCCTGGAGACACCTGGACACACCTGGAGACATGCCTAAAGACACATCTGGAGACATCTATAGACACACCTGAAGACACACCTGGAGACATGCCTGGAGACACCTGCAGACCCACCTGCACAGCACAGTCCCCTTCCCAGCAGAGCCTTCTGCTGGGAAGCTGAAGGGAAGCCTTCAGCTGCTGATTAAGAAATGCTTCTCCAGAGCGAGCCCTTCTCCCTCCTCCCACCCCTGTGCAGAGAGCGTAAACCGCGTCTCCAAAGGTCTTTCTCACATTTATTTCCTGTGCCTTTGCACTTCTCACGCTGGCCTCTGGCTGGTGTGTCCCGTGGCTTCTCCCCGACACTTCTCTGTGCCCCCCACCTTTGCCTGTGCCTCAGAGCAGTCCCGTAGGCACCTGGAGAGGGATGTGGTGGAGTCTCCTCCAGGGCCTGGAAGGTCCTGCATCCTGGGTCGCCAGTGCTGCAAGTCGCAGTCCACGGGTCGTATTCTTGGATGGCGGTCTCTACGTGTGTCTCAATGACGTTGTCAGGTATTTAAGGTCACTGGGTATGAAAACATGTCTGGGTTGCARATCTGTGGAATTGTCAGCTGGTACCTCATCCAGATTGAAGATGTCTGTCAAGGAGAAGAATTGACGTGGCACTGGCCTCCATCTCAGCTTGTCACCACCGATTGTTCATCCCTCAGCCTAGACCTAGGTAGTGGCCGGGGGAGAGGTGAGCCCTGCCTGGGGTTGTTTTGTTCCACTTATGGAAACAGGGAAGGTCATAAATCCTTAGCCTGCTCTTGGCTCAGACTCGAGGCCTGTTGATGTGACATGCCGCCTGTTTGAATGGCCACCGCAGGCTTTGGCTGCAAGTCCAGTGTGCCTTCATTGGACCGCAGAGCCAGTTTCCCCTGCAGTCCTTTCTGTATTCTAAAGTCAGTTTTCGACATGAGTTTTTCATTGTCTTGATTTTGAACCCACCATTGCCCATGAGTGGTTGCAACCAACGTGCCTGCTGCTTCCTCAACATTGTCACCACTTCCCGGCTCGTGTGGGGGACGCGTTCACTCTCCCACTCCCTCTGTGCCTGTGGGCGCAGTCCCACGTGGCCCCTTTGCCGACAGATTGTGGCACGAGGTGCTGGGAGAGCTCGGCTCTGCTGGGGGCTGTCGCAGGCCTGTGACTGTCTCCTATTTAAAGCGCCTGCATCAGGGAGCAGCTGTGATCACACAGGATCCGGGAGCACCACGTGCCCCKCTCAGAATGGAGATTATTACTACCGTCGGTTTTCTTTAACACTTTCCAAAATAGAAACCGAATCTTTGGCTTTGTTCACAAAGAATAATCAAGAATGCACTGGAAACAGATGTGCATCGAGAGTTCCACTCGAACACCCCAACCTTCTCAGAACTCCGGCAGCAGCGGCTTGAAGAGCTGAAAAGCAGCCCTGATAACTCCCCATTGAGTCAGACGGGAGTCGCTCTATTTATAAACGGGACCTGGAGCACTGGGCCATGTGCTGGCATGTGTTTCTGGCACTGCCGCCTTGAACTCCAGTCCCCTTATGAGCCTCCCTGTGGTCCCAAGAAAGGCTTTTAAATTTAGCACAGGGACGGCATTGGAACCAGCAGCCCCTCTCTGCACAGCCCTTTCCTTCCAGCGTGAGGGTCAAGTGCAGGCGGGGACGCGGGCTTGTCTCATTTGTCTTGTGTGCCATGACAGAATGTCACAGCCTGGGAGGTGGATAAGAAAGACACTCACTAGCAGGGACAGGTCAGGCAGGGACCTCAGAGTGTCCCAGGGCAGTCAGCCCCCCTGTGAGCCGGGGGTGGTGTCCCCACCTTGGCAGGGGTGCAGCGCCGCAGTGGGTCCTTCTGCTCTGCAACAGGAGCCTGCTGAGCTCCGGGGAGCTCTCCCCTGGACCCCTTTTTAGAGGCTGGGGAACACTGGAGCAGGAGCGGCCAGCGTCAAGCAGGGACTGACGTCTTGATAACTATTTTCCCTTCTTTGGGAACTCTCAACATGTGAATATTTTTATGAATACAAAAGAGAATGATGGAAATTCAATCTTTTTCTAAAAAAACGTAATACCTTCTAAATAACAGATTGTATTTTGTGTGTGTATCCAATTGCTTTTTAATTCAGTAATTGCACCTTTTTCTTTGGAAACAAGGTGAAATAAGTATTTCCCATCAAAATCTGTTTTAAACATGCCTGCTCGCCGCCACTCTGCCTTAATTTGATTCTTTTTTTTTTTTTTTTTCCAAATTAGTGCTTTTAAGTGGTTGACATCATTGTGGTTTTCACTGTGTGACAAGGAATCACACAGGCGTCACAGTGCCCTCTCCCGCACAAAGGGAAAATTACCATGGGCAGGCAGGCAGGAGACGTCTGCTGCATGCTSCTCTTGCCAAGAGGTGGTTTGCCGTGTGACTTCAGTGTCACTGTGTGACTTCTGAGCTTGGGTGGGGCASCGGCTAACAGGTAGCACAGGCAGCGTGAGGAGGACTGGAATTTCCATTCTTTCTCAGAAGCCCCTTGACTTACGTGCTCAGCTGCCTTCTGATCCTTTGCGTGAAGTTGACGTTACAGTGCCTCCCGCAGATCACGTCCCGGCTGCCTTAYGGATGATTTATAGGGTAAATCACTCGGCAGGTGGGTGTTGCCACAAGGAACCTCATTCGCCTACGTCACTTCTTTAATTTTCAAAGACGCAAATGGGCTCTGCTGTTGCAGTTTGCATGTTTAGAAGTGACACCTAGTGATGAGCTTCCCTTCCAACACCGGCGTCTCCAGAGTCTTGAGCACTTGGCGGAGTGAGGGGAACCTGCCCCACGAGACTCCCAGTGTCACCCGCTCATCTATGAACTCTGCCAAGGGCCCGTCTTGGTAGGGGGGGCTGGCTGCCCTCCTCTACCCCGCCAGCTGCTTGTGAGGTCCTTGCTTCAGTTGTCCCTTCTTCCTCCTGTAGGGTGCAGGGCACGGTCCCCATTTTCCAGGAGAAGGACTGGGTGCTGCCGGGGKTTTTCGGGCTCAGTGAGTCACAGCTGGACCTGGCTTCTGTGCCTAAGGTCTGGGCTCTTCAGGGTGGAACACGGGCACCCAGAGTCGTCAGCCCCTGGGGGGTGCAGGCTGGTCCATGGCTGTCRCCAACAGAGGGATGGCTTCCTGTCGCTGGCATCTGGATCATGCCGTTGGCCTGCAGGTCCTGGGGTGGTTTTAGAAACAGTATCTGTTTAGCTGAAAAAAAATTGCACGGAAGTCATGGCTGTCTCAAGCACCCCAGTGACTAATTTACACAGGTGGCTTTCATTTTCATGACTACCTGCTGGTGGCTCGTTTTCCCCCTGAATGTCTTCACTGAAAATGCACATTTAGTGCCGCTCTTGCGCTGCAGCAGAAGCAGGATGGACGTCCTGCTCCTTCAGGACCCGAGGTATTTGGTCACCAGGTTTATTCTGTTTTTTTTTTTTTTGTCTTTTGTTTTTTCTGAAAACAATGCTCATGAGCTTTGCTTTTCTGCAGTTTTGAATGAACAGTATCAGGGCAAAATACTTCTACCCAAATGTTAGTCAATAGGTGTGCTGTTACCTGGCGCCGTATTTTAATAGAATGTTCTTTATCTCCACAGCCACAGCCCTTTCAGACAACATAAAACCAAAGATAAGCATGAGATAGACCGGATGACCCTCACCATGGTAAGCATGAGATGGACCCGATGACCCTCACCATGGTGAGGGGACTCAAGAGTCTGTCCTCCCCTGCATCAGGGCTCTCAGACATCACACCACTAAAAATAAAATGGGTATAAAGTACACACAAAGCGTGGACAAATCCTGCCAAACAGTTTGAAGTATTTGCATGTAGTATGCAAAAATCACTTGGCTTTTATGAGTGAAATAAACAGACAGAAGACATTCCTAGAAGAATGTCTAAAAGGTAAGGAATGGAGGTAGACCCAAGGCAGGAATCACGACTCACAAACAAGCAGCGGAAGAAAGTTACAGAAAGTCAAGTACAAAACCAAGGAAATCAACAAAGGGGGGGCCTGCAGAGGGGCAGGTGGGGCCCGCCAAGTCCACGGCTCTGACCGCCGGCTGGTGGGCTCCTCCCCTGCGCTGCCCGTCTCGTCTCGGGGTGCAGTTTTCCCCTGACCCAGGGGCCCCGGGTGTGAGGGTGCTGTTTCCAGGAGCCGCTGTTCTCTCCCCAGAACGTGGAGCTCCCGGACACCTTCTCCCCTGACCTCAAGTCCCTCCTGGAGGGCCTGCTGCAGCGGGAAGTGAGCCAGCGGCTGGGCTGTCGCGGAGGCGGGTAGGCTCAGCTCTTCTGTCTCCACGGAGTGGTGTGCSCTGCTCTGTGAGTGCTGTGACTGAGCAGCCGGGAGCCTGTCAGGTGTGAAGCCAGCCTGGTGCAGGACGGAATGAACTCGGCCACCTTGCAGTCCCCGTCCCCGGGGTGCATGCCACTGTCTCAGTCTTGCACTGAGATGCTGTGACCGGTTCCCACGTTTCCCCCCAGGCCCTCCTGAGGACGACCGTCTCCTTCACCTGCTCCCCCCTCCCCCAAAGCACCCCAAAACAGTCAGACCAGGGAGGAAGCTTTAGAGAAGTACTTACACAGACCGTCCCTGATTTGTCCCCACACCTGGATGGCTTCACACGGAAAGGACAGTATGACACTTGGGTGTGTGTGTGTGTGTGTGCGTGTGACATGTGTATTTTTGTGGTTTTTTTTGTTTTTTTTTTTTATTGTTGGTCGTTCAAAACATTACATAGTTCTTACTACATCATATTTCACAGTTTGATTCAAGTGGGTTATGAACTCCCAATTTTACCCCGTATACAGATTGCTGTATCACATCAGTTACCCTTCCATTGATTGACGTATTGCCTTTCTAGTGTCTGATGTATTCTGCTGTCTGTCCTATTCTCTACTATCCCCCCTCCCCTCCCCTCCCCTCCCCTTTTCTCTCTCTACCCCTTCTACTGTAAATCATTTCTTCCATTTGTATTATCTTGTCTTACCCCTCCTTACCTCTTATATGACATTTTGTATAACCCTGAGGATCGCCTTCCATTTCCATGCGGTTTCCCTTCTCCCTCCCTTTCCCTCCTACCTCTCATCCCTGTTTAATGTAAATCTTCTTCTCAAACTTTCGTCCCTACCCTGTCCTTGTTTACTCCCCTTATATCAAAGGGGTCATTTGGTATTTATTTTTTAAAGATTGACTAGCTTCACTTAGCATAATCTGCTCTAATGCCATCCATTTCCCTCCAAATTCTATGATTTTGTCATTTCTTAATGCAGAGTAATACTCCATTGTGTATAAATGCCACATTTTTTTTATCCATTCATCTATTGAAGGGCATCTAGGCTGATTCCACAATCTTGCTATGTATTTTTGTATTTTCAGAGTAGCATGCATGTCTATGCGCTCATTATTCCTGAATATTGTGTGTGTTTTATTCAGCTAAATAATATGCTCATATGCACATTTCTTTATTTATCGGTTCCACTGAGGGTGTCCCATTCCCGCTGTAAGAATAAAGCCTTGGTCACTGCCCCCTCTGTCTCCCTACCCCTTCCCACCTCTCCCCAGAGTCCAAGTGCTACTTTGGGCTCCTCTTTTGTTTACTTTGTAGCTTTAAACTATAGATTTAGCCAGTGGTGCCTTTTCCCACCAACTACAAGCAACATCTCTTGAGTCCCAACTGTCCACAGTGAGGCTTCTACATTCTCTTCATTCATCAATTGCTTCTCTGTCTCTCCTTTATCATGTTCTTTTCTATTTTTGACAGATTAAGTTGTTATGGTCTTTTCCCTATTCTTTTTTTTTAACACAATACCTTTTTTTTTATTATTATTTTTATGTGGTACTGAGGATCGAACTCGGGCCCCGCCAGTGCTAGGCAAGTGCTCTACGGCTGAGCCACAATCCCAGCCCCTTTTCCCTATTCTTTGATCACAGTGAATCCCAGTCTTTGTACTTTGCCTACGTTGATTTCAAGAGTTGCAAATGAAATAGTGTTTACACCATAAGGCAACATAAATGTCGTTCATCATGTAGTTTCTACTTGGTCTGGTAATAGGCCTTACATTTATTTCTATAACATGACGTGTGTATATGAAGAGATGATATCACAGTCATGGGCTTTTACTTTTCCTGGTTTTCTTCATGGCACACATACTATCAGCTCCAGTGAGAACCACATGATTTCGGCCAGTCGGCTTCCTTGCAGCCGGTGCCGCCCTGCTCTGCTCTCCTGGTCTGAATCACCATCTACTTGATCCCTCGCCTCTACTTTTCTGGGTCCCTCTGTTTGAGCTGGAGCATGTTCCCAAGGAATCTTAGAGAGGGGCTAGGAGAGGCCAGGTGTCTGGGTCTCACCTAGACTGTCTTCCCGCTGTCCACAGACATGACTCACATATAGGCCCGACACGGGACAGTCAGTCACTGGCAACCCCCGAGAACTCTGAAGACTCTGCTTTATTGAGTACAAGTGACTAGTCCCTGGGGTATGGAACTCCCATAGTTCCTGATGCCAGGTGCTTGCTCTCAAAGACTCATGCTTTTCAGCTTCGGGGAGAGTCTTGTTTAACTTATGTAACATTTCTGCTCCTCCATTTCTTCCAGAAGTCCATTGGCTGGATGCTGGGACTTCTAGGCTGGTCCCCTATGGTCCCCTGGTCCTGATCTTATATATTATCCATATCTTTGCTTTGACTCTTTCTTATACTTTCTGATCACTTAAATTTCCAACCGTTTTATTGATTATTTTGAAAGATCAGTAACAGGTTTAGTTTCTTGACTGTAGAATCTTTCAGAGATTGTCTTAGCTTTTTCACTGCGGTGACCAAAAGATCCCACCAGAATAACTGTGGAGGAGGAAGTTTATTTGGAGGCTCATGGTTTTGAAGGTCTCAGTCCATAGACAGCAGGCTCCATTCCTTGGGGCCGGAGGTGAGCTGAACATCATGGTGGAAGAGTGTGGAAGAGGGAAGAGAGAGAGAGACTCCCCTCCTCCAGCCACCCCCACCCACTTTCAGTCACCACTCAGTCAATCCCTTCAGGGGACTGATCACTGATTGGATCAAGACTGTCACTGCCTGGTCACTTCTCCTCTCAGCCTTCTCGCATTGTCTCACACATGAGCTTTGGGGGGACACCTCACATCCCAACTATGTGGGGTTTCCTTCCCACTAGGACAGCTGTAGGTGCTTGGGGCTTGGTGTGGGGAAGGAGGTTCCGTGTGCAGGTGTCCAGCTGTGTCCACACCCAGGGTCCCCGGGCAGAGTCCTAGTCCTGTGTCTCACATACGCTCATCCTCTGTGATGAGCCTGGAGGTCAGCATGTGGCTTTGTCCCCAAGACCATAGCTTGGCCAGTCCCCGCTGTCTGTCCCCTCCCCCACATGCCAGCGGGTGGCCCTGGCTGTCGCCTCTGGGGAGGGTCTGCCTCTCTGTGCTCTGCTGTCCCTCGGGCCTGTGGGAGGGAGGGGCAAGGCTGATCCAGAGGCCACCCCTGCGGCCGGCCGTAGGCAGCTGCTAGTGGATGTGAGGAAACCTGGAGCCCGTCTAGCTTAAGTCTAGGGCTAGTGACAAGGCACCAACCACAGCACAGCTGCAGAAAGCCCCAGGGCTGCTGGTGGACATGCCCAGAGCTCCGTGACCTGGACCCCGCCCCACTCGGTGACCCCTGAGCCCTGGCTGAGCACCAGCCTCACCACCCTGCCTCCGCAGGGCCGGGCCCAGGTGGACTTGGCACTTACATGGGGTGGGGACGGTAGCAGCAAACAGACCGCTGAGAGGACAAAGGCTGTGAAAAGGACCAGGAAAGACTTAAGCAACATGGTGGGTGGACCGTAGGGGGACTTTGTAGGTGGAGGGCTTCGGGTGGGAGGGCCTCAGACTGCAATTCAGAAAAGCCAGGAAGGCTGGGTCGCAGAAGCTGAGGATGGAGGAAAGAGATGGGTAGAAGAATGGATCCGAGAGGTGGCCCTGGCCAGGTCCCTCGGGCCCTTGTCACGGGGGTGCGGCACTGGATTTTGCCGTGAGTTCCCGGGGAAGCTAGGGAGTGAGGGGCACAGGGCAGCTCAGGTGGGAGGAGTGTGGCCTGGGGGCGGCGAGCAGCCTCAGACCTGCTGTGTGGTCCACGTGGGGCTGCTGGGCAGGCCTTGGACACRAGGCCTCGTGCAGACAGGACTTGGTCGTCACGTGACATCACCAAAGGCGCACAGGGCCTGGGCAGGCCCTTGTGGGTGGCTGAGACCGGTCTGGGCTCTGTAGTACAGATGGACAGAGAAGTGCTGTGGGTCAGGGAGGTCTTGACCATGACCTTCAGGAAGTTTGTTTCTCCAGCTTACGAAGGGGCTCAGCACTCACCCCACCACTAGATTTCTAGTTTGCATCCAAGACAATGTTTGCTGCTTAAGATCATCATTTTCCTGTCATTTTCCCTATCACAACCAGCAGACATTTGCCATCAATTTCTTAAATGTGTAGATCTCCAATTTAATTCTTATTAAGCTAGGTTCTTGTGGCTACAGAATCACCATTGACAGGTACGTAGAATGTGTGTGTCCTCTACTGTTCTGCTTTAAGGTGTCCCACACCTATACCTGTGCTGCGGGGTGTGGGCGGGCCATGAGTGGTCACATGGATAGGCTCCAGGTACAGCCCGAGGCCTTTCTGAAGGCCACGGCATTCCCTGTGCTGCTCTGAGAGAAGCGTCCTTACTTGCTGTCCTGAAGAGCTGTGCTCACTGGGGCATGTTGTGAAATGCCTCTCCCGTCTCCAGTGCATACTCACCACCTTTAGGACCCTCTCTTCCCCAGAGCCCAGGAGGTGAAAGGACATGGCTTCTTCAAGGGCATCGACTGGCAGCACGTCTACCTGCAGAAGGTACTCACGCCCAGGCCCTGGTGCCACGGCATCTGCGCTCTGCCCGCTCTGCCGGCTCTGCCTCTCTTCATTGCTAGCTTCCTGGACCTGGTCCCCACCCTGGCTTCCTGTGTCCACAGGGCTCTGCCACCCGGGTGTTGCCCTTGGCTGACCCCCTTTGGGACAACAACTCACTCTTCATTTTGCTTTTTGGGTTGGCCCTGCCATCCCCAGGCTCAACCAGCCACAGGTGGAAGACAGGAAGAAAAATTGCATCCATATGGAATATGCACAGATTTTTTTCCCTATTAGTTTTTCCCCAAACAACCTAGTGTAGCAACAATTCACATAGCACTTACACTGTACTGGGGATTGCATCATCTAGAGATGGCATAGTATCCAGGAGGAGATGGGCAGGTCCTAGGCAAATACCTGTGATTCTACATCAGGGTCTCAGGCATGTGCTGATCTGGGTGTGCAGGGGGTTCCTGGGACCAATCCTCAGATAATGGGGGACAACTTTATATATAAATTTCAAAAATATCTCCTCTATAAACTAATTAAAGATAAGATAGAGCTGTTATGTAGCTAATTCAAATGTCCATATAATTGAGACATTTTAGTTTTGGCCCATCTGCTTGATTTCTTAATGTGACCATAGTTTTACATAGACTTCTGTAAAAATATAGGAGAAACTTTTGGCATAAACTTATATATATCTTCTGGCCCAGAACCACTTAGTTTAAGAATTAGCATGATTGTATATCAGCACAATTCCCTTATTTTTTTATTCTTTTAAAAACATTTCTGGTGATGCTGGGGATGGGCCTCCCCCAGGCTAGGCATGGCTGCACCCCTGAGCCATGGCCCAGCCTCATTTCCTTATTTTAAGCTTCATTATATCTCATTGATATAGGAAAACCCCAAATAAAGTATATTTTTAAGAATATATTTTATTCTTATGTGATTGGCAGTTTCTGCATGAATGCGAGCTGCAGAGGGGTGTCCCTTCTGTGGGAAGGACACCCTGACTGGTTGGTCCTGAAGACAGAATCTGGGCATGGCCACTCACCTGGGCGACACCTACAGGTGTTAGAGCTTGGCGCTTCTGCAGGCGCCGGGGTGGTGGGTTGTGGCTCCGGTGACCAAGAGGTACACTGCATCCTCTGAGGGAACCTGCTTTCTAGAGGCTGAGTGGCGAGTGGGGGTGTGCAGTCTAGAGACTTCATTATATTTAAAAATGTTTTAAGACTTGAAGGTCTTTTTTTTTTTTTTTTTTTTTTGCCCCTGGGACTCGGCTGTCCCCTTGGGCTGCTCAGTGCAGATCCTTGTGTGAATGCACGTGGCTTTAGTGCTGCTCAGAATGCAGCAGGGTGACTTCACTCAGCTCCTGACACAGACAGCTGGGAGGGGAGGGGGCCGCCAAGGGCAGCTGATAAGGGAACCCCCCTCCTTGCCTCTTTCAGTACCCACCACCCCTCATCCCTCCCCGGGGAGAGGTCAATGCTGCGGATGCCTTCGACATTGGCTCTTTTGATGAAGAGGACACCAAAGGTATTAAGGTATGCAGGTGCTGGCTGCCTTCCGGTTTGGGGTGAAGAGAATTTCTGTTGAGTGTCCATCAAACTTAGCGATTGCTCTAGCACGGTTGTAGAATGTCACCTACAAGTGAATCTCTACATAGTTGACATATGTACAAGTCAAAGACCTACCTTAGACAGACACCATAAAAGCTTTCTTTGTACTGCTAATTTTATTTGTTTTTTATTAGGTCCTGGGGCTTGAACTCAGGGGCATTCACCACTGAGCCCCATCCCAGCCCTATTCTGTATTTCATTTAGAGACAGGGTCTCACTGAGTTGCTGAGCGCCTCATTGTTGCTGAGGCTGGCTTTGAACTCACCATCCTCCCACCTCAGCCTCTCGAGCTGCYGGGATGACAGGCATGTRCCACCATGCCAAGCCTTGCTAATTTTGATTTTGACAAACTCAAAATGGTTGATTGATATGGAATATTTGTGTTTGAAATAAAACTTCAATTATCTGAGCCAGAGAAACAACTTGACATACAGCACAGCTCACCTGGCGCCAGAGCTCAGTCGTCATAATTCTCCTATGCAGGTGGGTCCCCAGGCTGGGATGAGAGCGCCAACAGCAYGGGCCATTTGCTTGTGTCACTCAAAGAGGACACAGTCCCTTCCTTTTGTATCATCCTTGGCATTTTTGAAGCTTCTGTTCACATCATCATTTTTCTAACTAGAGACAAGTCATAATTACAGATGTGAACACCAAGGAAAACCATCATCTTTAAGATGCTAAGTCGCAGCGTGTCACTGGCATCAAACTGTCATCTGCCCCCTATGAGCCTCCACAGCTCATCCCAGGCCCTTCCCACCACCCCAGGCCCCCCCTCTTAGCTGCCTCCCATGTGCCCTTCTCCACGCACCTCCCCTTGTCCCCCAGGTGCCTTCCCCTCCTGTCAAAACACACCTGCCAGGTGCAGAGCAAAGACTGAAATCAATGGCCGGGCAGGAGCTCTGAAGGGACAGAGGTGGTGGGTAGAGGGCCAGAGAAGTACAGAGGCCCTGGGGAGGAGGGCAGAGTCCAAGGCCACCTGCCTGGCGAGCTGGGGACAGAAGTGGTCAGAGCTGGCAGCTCCAGGAGAGGAGGGCGGAGCTGGGGTGTCCACAGGAGCAGCCCCTAGGAGGAGGAGGTGAGGTGSCGGAGGACCAGGGGCCAAGGCCACAGCGTGTGGATGGTGTGAAGTGATCCAGCAGCTTAGAGGCACCCCTCTGAGGTCTGCGACCCTGGGCTCCCCGGGAAGCAGCCGGCATGCCCAGGCCTGCCCCCACTGGGCTGTGTCTACAGTGTGACCCATCCGAACCCGTCCGGGTGCCACTATTTAAAAGGAGCAGCTGTCACAATAGAATTCTATCATCAGGTATGCCACTGTCCRTCAAAATTAAATTAAAGCTGCTATTATGTGGAAGCCCAGACAAATTTTTCACATGAAAGATCCTCTGATGGAAACTTTCTATAAACCGGACTCTGCAGACTTGGTGTGAAGCTGYCACTCTCAGCTGAATGGACTCAGGCCGTCCCAGCCCCGAGCCGTGGCTTACCCACGGGTAAAGCGCGTGGCTTCATTGTTGGCTTTCTCCAGGACGGTGGGATGACCAGTCCAAGCCCCGGGGCCCACGGTCAGCCTTTATGGCAAGCTAGTGGCTGCTATTGCTGCGGCTTCAGGGGAGAGCGCAGGGGGAGGTGGAAACTGTGTGGGAACCAGGCTGGGAGGGTGGAGCCTGTGTGGGAATGAGGCTGGGAGGGAGGAGCCTGTGTGGGAACGAGGCTGGGGGAGGAGCCTGTGTGGGAATGAGGCTGGGTGGGAGGAGCCTGTGCGGGAATGAGGCTGGGAGGGAGGAGCCTGTGCGGGAATGAGGCTGGGTGGGAGGAGCCTGTGCGGAAATGAGGCTGGGTGGGAGGAGCCTGTGTGGGAACCAGGTTGGGCGGAGGAGCTCGGTTGCAGCCTGGATGGAGCGTCCCATGGCACCCCTGGTCTTCTCCACCTGTGGGAAGCAGCCCCCTCCCCCCACTGCTCTGTTCTTCACAGAAGGCTCCTCCCCWCACCTCAGGTCGCCCTCAGCTCTCCTCTAAGTCCTGCTGAGCATTGGGGCTGGGTCCCAGGATGGAGGCTTGGGGAAGGCCTAGGAGGCGCACCGTGCATCCACAGAGCAGGGCTGCCTGTTGTAGGGCAGCCGCTCGGAGGGAGCGTGGGGCCTGGCGTGGTGGCACTGCCGCCCCTGCCCTCGCTCTCAGAGGCACACCCTCATCCCAGGTGCCACTTGCCCCTCCTCACGCTAAGAACAACTGCGCTTAGTTTGGAGGTGTGAAGACAGCAGGAAGGGGCCCTGCCAGCCAGGGGTGTGGGAGTGGGGGTGCCTTCCCGGCAGCACAGTCAGGCACACGGACAGACCATGCCCCAGTCCGGGGTGTGGGGCGCACTCGGCCCACCAGGTCTCTCTTTCCCTTCTAAAGAGCTTGCCTGCTGCAGTGCTTGACCCCTTCTTGTTTCTCAGACAAAGGAGCAAGGAACTCGGACCCTAGAGAGAACTGTGCTTCTCACCAGACCCGGGCTGCTCCTCTCAAATTGTACTCTGCCACCCCCTACACCATAGCTCAAGGACATGATAACTTTTTTTAGTGCCGGGGGGGCACAGGGGCACTTGAGCACTGAGCCACATCTCCAGCCTTTTTTTATTTTGAGACAGGGTCTTACTGAGTTGCTTAGGGCTTCACTGAATTGCTGAGGCTGGCCTCGAACCTTAGATCCTCTTGCCTCAGCCTCTGGAGTTGGTGGGATTGCAGGCATCCTCTGCACCAGGATCTTGGCTTATTTTCAAAGTGCAGCCTCTCTTAGAGGGCAKAAGGAAGAATTTTGAATAACTGGAAGCAAAAATACTATCGTTACGTGTAATTTTTTATCACAGCAACTCTTACAGGCTGTGTTGCCTAAACTCTCCACGTATCTTGGGCTTAATGTCTCTATGTATGTTCATAGTGTTTAATTAGTTGGAAAGTTCATGGAAAGAATGGTGAATTCAGCCTACGTTACCTTGTGTTTAACTTTTCAGATGAACCTATGGTAGGTTGGGACCTTCTTGGCTTTGCCCTTATCATGACTCTAGAATTACATGGACTGTTTGCCTACTTTATAAACAAGGTACCCTCACTGTAGTCACRGGGGCACTTGGTGTCAGAACCTACCTGTACATCAGGTTGGTTTTCGGCTGCACAGGCATCATGAAGCTGGCGTAGAGGGGGCCCAACCCCCTTCCTCCTGCAGTGGAGAGCTGTTGTCTGTAGCAGAAGTGGTCGTCCTGTCACCTCCCTGATACGGTTGTGCTGGGGCCACCACGGATGTCTATGTGAGTCTCTGGAAGTGCGCTAACTCATAAATGTCTTGGTTTCTTAACCTGRCAAGCTGCTCGACTGCGACCAGGAGCTCTACAGGAACTTCCCCTTRGTCATCTCCGAGCGCTGGCAGCAGGAAGTCACAGAAACCGTCTACGAAGCCGTCAAYGCCGACACGGACAAGGCGGAGGCCAGGAAGAGGGCCAAGAACAAGCAGCTGGGCCACGAGGAAGGTGAGAGGCCAGGCAGCTCCAGCCCTCCCGGGCGGGTCTCCACGGGTTATTGGGAAAACGTTGAGTCACGTGTGTTTTCCAACAAAGGAAAAAAAAAACAGTGGCCAGCGTCCAGCCTGTGTGCCCTGCCCAGTCACAGAGGCCTGGACAARGTTTCATGCCCTGCGTCAGCACCCCGAGACCCCGGGTCTGTGATGGCACTTGAGGAAGGGTCATGTTCCCATCATGTACCAGCCCCATAGAGTTTGTGACTGGTCCCCGMAGGGGACTGGGCTTGGCATGCCACCTGTCAAGAGAGATAAGCRTGTAAATACATCTGTGGTACAAACYGCATTAAAGAACAGCCAAAGWGTGCCTTTTCGTTTAAAAAATCAGGTGCCCTATTGGGATTTCTATAGAAAACGTAACAACAAACACGAAATGAACTTGTCAATCATCCTTGATTCACTGAACGTTGWAACTCTTATTTTTCCAAGATCTCATTTAGTTGGGTTGTTTGCATGTACTGTAGTTGATGATTGAGGTAAGACACATCTTGTTTGACATTGACGCTGAAGCCCTAGGGTGACCTTGCAGGCATTTAGGAGGGACTGAGGGTGCTTCCCCTCTATGTTAGGGCAACTAGCTGGAGGCCCCCTGCTGGAGGATCCAGTGGTCTCAGTGGACTCCTTCCCTGGGGCATTTGTCACCTATTTAGGACAGCCGGCCGTCCTTGTGTTCTGGTGACTTTCCTACGTGAATCCACAGGGCTTTGCCTCCACGCCTCAGCTCCTCTGTGTCCTTCCCCACCTGCTCCTGCCCCTCCTGCTGTGGGGACACKGCAGGGAGGTGGCTCCTTTGTCTATTTCTACACCTCTCACTGGACTAAGCTCAYCAGGGCAGGATTTAGTCCTTCCTGWTCCCTGGACATGCCCAGCCCTGGGCCTTTGCCAGATGGTTGCTTGAGGAAGGAGACCTCAGCCTGTGAGCCATGTCAGGGTCCCCAGGGCTCCGACCAAGGCTCCAGGTTCCCCGGTAAGAGTCCACAGCCRGGTGGATGGTCTCTGCACAGCCACACGTTGACGAAGAAGCTTAGCCCCGGCTCGCGAAGGGACTGCCCATGACTGACTGCTGACCTGGGTGACAAAGGCCCCCTCTAGTGTCACCTGTAGAATGAAAGGAAGAGGAGAGGGACCTTCCCATCCCACAGAGGACAGGGGTGTGGATGTGCTCCTCTTCTCACCACCTGCACACACACCCAGCMGGGACAGAGATGGTCTGGGAACACACTTTGTCACCTCTGAGCAGTCCATGCACGTCMCGGGTCTGACTGAAGAGTGTGGAGAAGTGTCATTTAGTGTGTTGGTAGGGATGGCAGAGGAGGTGCCCGTCCTTAGGCCAGCCCAGCCCAGCCGAGGTGTGTTGATGGAGAGCTCCATCTCCCACCGACGCCTTCTGCCCTCCCAGAGCGGATGGCYGTCCCCGGCTGCGCAGCCGCCCCACACTCGCTGGTCTTCCTGCAGATTACGCGCTGGGCAAGGACTGCCTCCTGCACGGCTACATGCTGAAGCTGGGCAACCCGTTCCTCACACAGTGGCAGCGCCGCTACTTCTACCTCTTTCCCAACCGACTCGAGTGGAGGGGAGAAGGCGAGTCCCGGGTGAGTCGGGGGCAGGTGGCGCCTGTGCTGTGCGCCCCTGTGCCAGATGAGCTCAGGTCCCCAGTGGGTGTCCTAACTTCCTCCGCGCACCGGGGTGTCCTCCAACTCATGTGCATGAGGCTGGGGCACTACGCTCTCTCCTCCAGCCCCCAAGTCCAGCCAAGTCAAGGAAGGACCTTGCAGTGCCTGAACATGGAAGGTGTCCAGAGGAAACCCAGAGGCAGAGGTGGGGACTGGGCTGTCTCCTCACCCGGGAAATGGGGGAAATGGCAGTCACCACGCCTGCTGTCATTCCTGCTGGTCATCTGAGGCCCRCTGCTGTGCAACAAAGACGTCTCAGTCTGTTAGCAGCTTCTGAAGGTCTGACCCTCCCCCTGTGGACAGGAATCAGGGCTCAGATGGGCAGGGTGTGGCAGGGACACAGCTGGACAGCATCACTGGAGAGCTTTCAAACCCACGTCCACCCAGGCCTCCCGCCTCTCCCCACGTCAGGTCAAATGAAATATCACCCACAACACTGGGCACAGAGACRAGGTCACCAGACCACACTCCCTCTTGTCTGCCCCCGTGGAGTCTGCAGGTGGCCCTCATTTAGGGACAGGAAGATGTGCTGTGCTCTTGGGTTCTCCGTGGAGCTAATGGGCAATGAGTGTAAGAGGAAAAGAAGTCTCTGCTCCACCCTGTACCTGTTGGCAGGTCAGGAAGCATTTAGTAAGCACCTACTGTGTGCTGATGGCCAGGAGAGGAGCCAGCGGTGGGTGAAGGCCTGCCYTCTGCTCCCGGGGAGGGCACGTCTGTCACTGTAAGCGGGAGATGGTCCTGGGTGTCAGAAASGTCATTATGTATTAGGAGATCAGAACACGGCTGCCACCACTCCCCATGGAGTCCGTGTGGAACAYAGTAGGCCCTGATCTTACCTTCCACTAGGGATGGTGCTTTGGAATCCCTGGGTGGAAGTTGCCATTTAAATATGAATGGCTGGGATTGCAAAAACCATATTGTTTTAAAAAAATAAACAGGCRGGGCTGGGGTTGTGGCTCAGTGGTAGAGCGCTCGCCTAGCACGTGCAAGGCCCTGGGTTCGATCCTCAGCACCACATAAAAATAAATAAAACAAAGGTATTGTGTCCAACTRCGACTAAAACATAAATATTTTAAAAAATAAAATAAAAAATAAACGGGCTCTCACAATTTTTTGAACCATAGAAGCCCTTTTTAAAAAACTAACATAGCAAGGATCTAGTTGACGAGATCTTTGGGGCTGTGAGTCACACAGGACACAGGTGCAGTGTTGGTGGAGGTGGCCCCAGAGCTCAGGCCGTCCCCAGGTAAGGTAAGACTGGACCTCTGTCTACTGACACTGTTGTGCACATGGGAAGGAAGCTGCCCCACTTTTCAGGATATTTGAAAAATTAAAGACTCGACTTCCTGTGTTCAACCTGAGATGCGCGAGCTGACCTTGGTGTTGAAAGGTCGCCCCCAGTGCTCTCCTGAGCAGCTGCAGAGCACAGGACGGGGTTGGTGAGGACCAAGGAGAAGGGGAACTCGGGAGCTTATGAMGCTATTGTTTCTCATTTAGGATTCTTGGAGTATTTACCCCAAAAAACACAAAATAGTAAGGAACTCACGCATAGCCTTTGCCGYGTGCAGCAATGCTGTACACCCAGTGTGACAATCTCTTAAGGCTGTCACCTGTATCTGCAGTGCCATTTTGATAGCATCTGACATCGCCAGGCCTTTCCTGAGTTGCTGTAAGCCTTATGCCAGGCTCGGGGACTTCCCTCACAGCTTGAAGGATGGCCCCTGACCCGCCCTCCTCCCAGATCAGTTCTGTGGTGGCCGCGGGCCCCCCTTGGCCTCGTAGAAGCATTGCTTTCTTTGCGGTTTTCTTTGAGACATTATCATTTGGATTTTCCTGCGTGTCCTTTGTAGCCATTTCCCCTTCAGTTCTAGAACATCATCAAAGAAAGAAAAACGCTGCTTCTCTTTTTTTTTTTTTTTTTTTTTTGTGGACTTGTTCTGGGTTCTTGGTATCATCACTTATTCATTTAATAAATTTAAAAAATCATGCAATACTGGGAATAACTTTTCTTTATTTATTTTGTTTTTATGGTTAGCAAAATCTACTGACCATGGAACAAATCCTCTCTGTGGAAGAAACTCAGATTAAAGACAAAAAGTGCATCTTGTTCAGAATAAAAGGAGGGAAACAGTTTGTCCTGCAGTGTGAGGTGAGTGCGGCTCCTTATCTCTCGGGTGAAGAAGGTTGAGCCACTGCTTGGCACCCAGCACAGCTGGCCGCTGGGCACCAGAGCCAGTTTGTAAGTGCCTCAGGGTCCTGCGGCACTTACAAACTGAGCCAGGTGTCCACCAAATCAACAGGTAGTTCAAAAAAGAAAATATTTGAAAACAGAAGGAGGAAATTCCTGAATTTGGTGACCTTATGTGGAAACTCCCCAGCACTCGGTGGGGGGTGGAGTTTTACGGGACCTGAGGTTCTAGGTCTGACCTGCCAGYATGTTTGAGGTTGAAGTTCACATGTTTATGTGATGGTTTATGATGATGGTGTGGCTTCCCCTGCTTGCTGTGAGACCTGYCAGTCTGCACCTCTTTCAAAAACATGGTTTTGCTCTGGGTCTTTGCCTTTCAGAAAAGGCTCAGACTTCTCTAAGGGGCGATGCTCTTTGCCCTCCAGTCCTATGGCCCAGGTTACATTCCTGAACACTGTTTGCTCTGGTGCGCGCGGTGTGTGTTGGGGGTTGGGGGCTCCAGATCGTGTTCCAGGAGATAAACAAGGAGTAGACCCCCAGGCGCACCTTAATAACCTCATTGCTAATTTTCGCCCGTGAAGGTTCGCGTTGGCCTGCGGGGCTCCTCCACATCTGCTGCCCACCATGGTTGTTGAATTGAAGCCCTTTGCTTTGCTGGGGCTGCTCCAGGAAGCTGGCCTCCTCTCGCTGCTAGAGGCTCTGAATGAGGGTCGTAGGCCCAGTGTCTGGAGAGGTGGCTGCAGGGTAGGCACTGAGGGGCACGCCCCGGCAGGCTCCAGGTCACCTCCAGAGGCTGTGGGCAGGGTGGGTGGACCTGTCCCAGCCCGTCTTCCTGTCTCCCTGCAGAGCGACCCGGAGTTCGCGCAGTGGAAGAAGGAGCTGACCGAGACCTTCACCGAGGCCCAGCGGCTGCTGCGCCGTGCACCCAAGTTCCTCAACAGGCCTCGGGCCAGCCTGGTGGAGCTCTCCAAGCCCCCGCTGTGCCACAGAAGCAGCAATGGCCTGTAGCGCGAGAGCGGGAGAGACAAGGGCCTCCGGGAGGCCACACCGGCTCTCCACGTGGGGCGGAGCCTGGGGTCTGTGCGGACATACCAGGCTGTGGCGGAGGTGTCGGGCGCTGGGACCTTTCATCCGCCGCCAGGAGGCCCCAGGCGGGCGCCAGATGCCCCCAAAGGGAGTTGGACCTCTCCAAGCGCGGCTGACCCTGCGCCACCAAGTGGTGCTGGCCCGCACTGGAGACTACTGAGGACACAAGCTCCCTTTCTTTGCTAGACAACTTATTTTGGTACCTCCAAGCTGGAACTGAAACATCCCTACTCGGCACTTACTTTTCAGTCTGATGTCAGACATCTCAGACTTCCCCGGGGGCCCTGGAGGTCCGCAGTCCTGGGGTCATTTGCGAGCTGAGCAGATCACTTCTGGAAGGTCTGCTCTGCCCTGTGGTGGCCGGGCTCTGCTGTCGGAGATGCTGGCTCCAATGTCCCAGGGCCGGGGTAGGGGGCTGCGGAGCGCGTCCCTGCGCACTGGAGAACCGGCCCCAGACGCTCCTGCTCCAGGGGCCGTGGGCAGGTGGGGGTGGCAAATGGGGTTCACTTGCCAGCCCCCCGAGGGTCCCTGGTGTTCCCAGGGAGAGTAGTGAGGTGTCAGACTGGGGACCAGGGCAGCAGTGGGACACCTCTGGGTGCCCAGGTCACAAGCACCCTGGCTACAGCTGGCTTGGAGTCCACCCTGAGCCCCTGTAGGACACCGTGGTTCTGGAACCTTCTGCCTGACCCTGAGAAGTGGTCAGCCGTGATGTGTAAGAGGAGGAAGGGAATCCCGCTGCTTCACCTTGAGCGTAATTTGAGATGATTTTTATTTGAAAAAATGCTGAGGAACAAGCATGGGAGGTGGCTGTTTTGGGACTCTCTTGTCCCATGGTGGTGGGTCCCTCTGCACTGACCTCTCTGGGTTGGGGCCCACCGTCCAGCAGCAAGGACCCAGCAGCCTCCTCCCCACCCCTCCATGCCTGTTGACGCCCCCAATAAATGCTGGTGACAGAACCAGCAAAGTCCCCCAGGCCATCAGGCTACAAAGTCCTTTCCAAAGTCTACACATTCATCAGTTCCTGGGTAGTTTTACTGTATGTCTTAACTTAATTACTAACAATATAAATAACTTGTCGTCTTGACCTCTTGTATCCTGTCCTTGATATTTTTATTGGTTCCAAACCTTTGTTTTTACCTCTCCGTGCCGCAGGCCCTGGGAAGGTCAGGGCTTCCTACCACGAGGTCATTTGCGAGCTGAGCAGATCACTTCTGGAAGGTCTGCTCTGCGCCTGGGGGACCTGGGCCAGCAGTTTGGGGTTTTTATCCACCTGGGCTCCGGGCGGGGGTTTCAGGTGGCACAGGTGGCTGTCTGCTGCTGGCAGGGTGGAGGAGGGTGCCACACACCCCACCGCCCTCCTTGAGAGGGTAGAAGAGCCCCGGATTCTGTTTAAAAAAAAGCGCACATTCCACACTGCCAAAACGGGGGCTCAGCTGTCACCCTGAGGGGGAGGCGTCCTCCCAGCCCCGTGTGCTGCAGCTGGCCTGGATGCGGAGCTCCCGGGTCCAGCACCTCCTCCAGGCTAACGGGCCACCGCAGGAGGGGGCGCCCTGCCACTGTCAGGGCTGGGTTCATCTTGTACACGTCACACTGGGTGGCATCCACGCCACATGGTTCAGGACGATGGTGTGGCTTCCCCTGCTTGCTGTGAGACCTGCCAGTCTGCACCTCTTTCAGAAACATGGTTTTGCTCTGGGTCTTTGCCTTTCAGAAAAGAAACATGCTCTGGAAAGTACCCCAGAGCCCTTCCTGCCCCAGCACACCCTCACCCTCCCGGCTCCATGCGGTTTGTGTGGACACAGGACGTGCACCCAGGGGTCCCCGTCCTGAGCCAGCAGCTCCAGCCACTGTGAGCCAGTGGCGCAGGGTCCTGGAGCACTCCTCCTGAGGGCGCTGCTCTCCCCAGATCAGGCACCCCAGGGCCTGCTGTCTTGGAAGTTTTGAGAGTGTAGATGAATTCCTAGATATTTGGTCCTTCCCACACTGGGACAAAAGTCAGCCCAGGTTTTCTCATTACTTTAGAAATTTAGATATCTATAGTTGCAATGTTTCGAACATTGTCAAGGAGAACAATCGAGGTTGCTATTATTTTTATAAAATTATGCTATAATAAGCCTCGATTTCATATTTCAAAAAAGAATCAGTAGCAAAGGCTAAAAATAACAGGTTGCTTTGAGCTGCTATGTAACACGTACAGAATAAATTAGAAACTTTTGCTATTCCAAGTTTATTCTTAACTTACCACATTCACGGGTACATGTGTCCCCTCACGTCCTTGTGGCTCACTGTGTTTCCTTCTCGATTGTGTTTAAGGAAGATTTTTCAGCAAAACTTCTTGAAATTGGTTTCTGTTTCCCCCATGAATGCAAAGTACGCAGTCCCCTGTCGGTTCATCAACACTAGAGTTTCAAATTCTGTGCATTCAAAGAAGGGGCCAGGCGGGCGCTGTGCCCACGCCTGTCATCCCAGCGGCTCAGGAGGCCGAGGCAGGAGGATGGCGAGTTCAAGGACAGCCTCAGCAACTTAGTGAGGGCCTAACAACTCAGCGAGACCCTGTCTCTAAATAAAAAAAATTCAAAGGGCTGGGGACGGGGCTCCGTGGTAAAGCTCCCCTGGGTTCAATCCCTGGCACCAAAAGAAAGAAGGGGGCCCTGGGCAGGACGAGGCTCTCCCAGGAAGGAAGCACCCGGCTCAGGCAGGCCGCAAACAAGGCCTGTGGCCAGTTACCCAGAGTGAGCTTGGTGTGCAGTCTCACAGATGCCACGTGGCTGTTGGAAGCAATTGTGCTGAGGCCACCCGGCCATGAAACATGTTGTTGATCAGTAGCTGACCCTGCTACCAAAGAGCAAAGTGGGGTGCCCCCATTCAGATTTTTTCGTCTCAGAATCCGTAGCCGGGCCAGTTCAATACAACATTTGACACTTCTCAGTGGGGTAGATTTTTCAAATAATTATTTCAAAATGTTAACATGRTGGAAAAGAAAACACAATTCTCTGAGCGTGGGCCTTTTGCCGTGATGTAAATCTACAAAAATGCTCYGAGACGTGGTGGTGTCCGTCAGCCTCGTAGGGTTTACTCCTAGGAATCCTTGGCTCAGTCACGTTCAGGGAAGCGTCTGTGTCCCTCCCAGACGCAGGATGAATCTAGTCGTCCTCGGGGCCTGTGGCAGGAGGATTCTGTGGGGAGGAGGCCACAGAGGGAGGTGGGCCACCGACACCACGGAGCACCAAGCGGGTGCCAGGTGGGTCCTCATACAGAACACAACGGTCACTTCGTTTCCGAGGCTGGAGCTGCTAACTGCAGCATGAGGCCACTTGCTGCCCAGCGAGACTTTCCGAGGACACCCACTTGCTGCCCTATGGCCCCAGACCCCGAGCAACACCAGACGTCTCTGTCACCCCAACATTCCATGTGCAGTTTGCAACCCTGGGCAGTGGGGACGTGGTGTCCCCCTCACCGTGACTGCATTGGTCAGTTGGGGACATCATTACAGATCCAGTGACGTTCTGGTCAACCCGGGGACCGTTGGTGCCACACTCATTTCCCTATAAAGGGATCTTTAGTARTTTAAGTTTTCCTGGAGATGGAGCGTGACTACCCCTTCTCACGGAAGGCCCACTTGCCAGCGCCATGGCTTACATTCATGTTATGGTGAATTTTCTTAATCCAGACCCCATATTTAAAAAAAAAAAAAAAAAAGATTTGCTCTAGAAAGAGTGAAAGTGAGACTTTAAAACGGGACTCCCTGCTTCCCTCAGGTCCTGATGCACTTCAGATTTTCTTTGTCCTCAAAGACCTCTTCTTTTACAGTGACGGGGACGTCCCCTCCTTTGGGATCGTGCAGGCTCTAGAAGGAGGAGCTGTGTTCCTGACCCAGCTGTGGAATTGATAAAATCTTTAACATTAAATTACTATTATTATTATTACCAACAAACAGAAATCTACAGAAAGGGGTTAAAAGCATGTGCACCCATCAGGAATACACAGGGGGAAATCCTTCTTTTCCAAGGTAACTCAAGTTCATAGAGTAGAGCTGCCGCTCCACCATCCRACAGTCTCAAGGTCATCTCTGAAAACTGTCAACTCCCTCTCCATCTGTTTTGTTTGTTTGGGCACCAGGGATTGAACTCAGGGGCCCTCAACCTCTGAGCCCCATCCCCAGCCCTATTTTGTGTTTTATTTAGAGACAGGGCCTCACTGAGTTGCTCAGGGCCTCGCTGTGGCTGAGGCTGGCTTTGAACTCAAGATCATCCTGCCTCAGCCTCCTGAGCTGCTGGGATGACAGGCGTGGGCCACCGTGCCAGGCTGCCTCCATCTTTAATTTTGTCCTAAATATAAAAGGTCTTTGACATCAGGGCAAAGAATAGCAAAATACTTCCAGTTGTGTATTCACAGGACAAAGGACCTGAGATTTCATTTCTCTTYTCTTCACTGACTATATTCTATGGTATGTCTATTATGTGGTTTATAGCTAAACACGGGGCATTTTTTAGTTGTATTGTTAAATTGTATTTTTCTATGTTTTAGCTAATTATAATTGGTTCAGCTTCTACTGGGTTAACAGTTCACTGAACTCCAAATATATATGAAACAAGAGTTCTATTGTAGCACAAGAGAATTTTATGTTATTTATTGAATCTATTAGTTTGTGTTCATCCATATCACTTCTTCCCTTTTTATCTGTATAGTTTGCTATTTAAAGAAATGGTGGTCTTTTYTGTTTTAATAAAAATCAAACCCATGCAAATAGCACCCTGGGTGGGCATCTCTTCAGAAGGCGTCTGCGTGTTCTTCTGGACTGACTGGTCCTACCATCAAGAACTGCAGCAGGAACAGGCATTGTCGAGGGCCCTGGTGAGCTGGGGTCCACCCTCCTTCCCCAGCTGCAGGAGCCGAGATGTGACCTTGGCCTTCCTCCCCCAGGCCGCCCCCCCCGCCCCCGCTGCCACTCACTGACCTTGCCTGGGCATCAGGTTCTGCATCTGGGAGGCCAACTTCCATGGACAGTTCTTTGCTCTTCTAGATGCACAGCAAGTTGTGTTTTAAGAACTGTTTTTAGGGGAGGCAGATCTGAATGGGACTTATTCCCTCCTCATTGTTCAGAACAAGGTGGAAAACAGGATCCTAAAAGCAAATGTCCCCTTGTAGGATTAAAAGTTTGCAGGAGCCGGACATGGTGACACATGCTTATCACCCTAGTGGCTCAGGAGGCTGAGGCAGGAGGATCATGAGTTCAAGGCCAGCCTCAGCAATTTAGCAAGGACCTAAGCGATTTGACGAGACATTGTCTCTAAATAAAATGTGGAAAAAAGGCTGGGGATGTGGCTCAGTGGTTCAGCACCCCTGGGTTCAATCCCCAGGACCAAAAAGAAAAAAAAAACAAAACAGGATCTATGTGAAACAGAGTGAAGCACTGYCCCCATGAGAAAGGGTTCCTCCTTGTTCTTGGACGCTTCCCTCTGCCTGTGTTTATGACCCTGTGGCCATCAACGGAGTGACAGGTTGTCTGTGCTCTTGCCCTTGGAGAAATGAGCCTGTTTCCTATTGCCCTTGGCTACACCAAGAGGAGCTGGAGAACCAGATGGGCACTGTGAGTCTAGACACGGCACCTGGACCATGGCTCTCAAATCTCTTTTCATCTTACTGTGACAGTGAGACGGTGCTCCAGGTCCACGGTCACCTGTGCTGGGCGCAGACGCCCCCCACCTCCATGGTCAGGGTCGCCGTCTTTCAGTTATTCTGGAGCAGCCAGGTGGGTTTTCCGTGTTGGCAAGTGGCTCACGGGAATCTCAGCCAAAGGCCCTGTCTGCAGAAGTCGACTCCAATGTGCTGTCTCCCCACAAAGACCCCAGTGCTTCCCCAGCTGCCAGACGTCAGGCCGCTCACTGTCAGGAGCGCCGACTGGGGGCAGTTCACGCCAAGGATTTTGTTCTATCAAAAAAGGAAGGGGCAGCCCCCACCTTTGCGCTGATTGTGTGGATTTTCAGGGCACAGCCAGTTTCCCACAAGTGGCCCGAGCCCCTGTCACCAGCACCACAAGGACAGGGTTGGGGAAGCCCCGGAGGAAACTCGGGAGGTCTCCCTGGTCTCCAGTCTGTGAGGGGCCATGCCCTCTTCCAGCCGCTGCCAGGGCGACYTCAGATTTCCTCCTGGAAGACACAGCTGCTCCTCACACCCTGTCCCCGCYCCCCAGAGACGTGCTGAGAGACCCCACGGTGCCTATCGCGTTAAGTCAGAAGCCCAGAGGGGTGGTCCCCAAGCCACAGCCACCAGGACAACACTGCCTGCCTGTGGTCCCCAGGTGAGGGGTGGGCTGGGGACTTCCTCTCCTTGAGCCGGATAGGAAATGTCCCTGTCTCTTGCTAGATTGGGAAGGAGAAAGT